ACAGGGGCGTTTCTGGCTGTTACCATTCAAGGGTTAGAAACTGCAGTTGACTGCTTTTGGGAAGCACAAAAAAACAAAACAAAACAAAACAAAAACAGCAACAACAAAAAAAAACCAAAACAAAACAAAAAAGGACAAAAAACCCAAACCCCAAATTCAGCAACAACAAAGAAAAAAAAAAAAACAAAAAAAAACAAACACCAAAATTTAGCAAAAAGAGAGTAGTGGGGAGCTTCAGAGACTGGCAATTATTTGTCAAATAGGTGGATAATCTTGATTAAGCAGAAAAAAAACCCCCGAACTCAGAACTACTTCTTGCAAAAATGTTAATTTTGGTTTTGCAAAGTGATGGCCCCAGCACACACGTGTATACGTATACAATGTACGAGACAGCATTATTTTGGGAGGAGGGAGGAAATAGTGCAACGCTTTAAAAATTAGAGAGGGAAAGCAGTAAGAATGTATTTAAGGGGTCTGGTCTGTATTTGATGTATTCTCCCTCCCTCCTGGCTTTTAGTTCTGCATCCCTCACTGGCCGCAGGCCCCTGCCCGGGGGGTTGGAGTAGCTGCTCCTTGATTCCGTGCTGCAGCCCACGGTGAAGGGATTTTGGAGAATCTAGCCAAAAATTATAAAGCAACTTTGTCCCTAGCAGTAAATAAAGATCCGATAAGAAATTATCGAGCGGTAGCGCTCAGCTCCCCACGGTCCAAAGTTCCTTGGTTATTTTTATTCCTACTGATGAAATACTTGAATAATTTTGCACTGGTGTACGAGGGGCTGAGGTGGTCAGCAGCTCTTCTGCACCTCACCTTTTCCAGGAAAGCAAAACCCCCCCAAAACGTGTGTTTTGCTAGGTAGGATTTCGTGTCTCTTCGTGTTTCGGTGGCGATTTTCCTGTGGAGGTTGGGGCGGTTTTGCGGTCGGTTAGGAAGGGTTCAGCCCTTGGTGAGCACGCCCGTGCCTGTCAGCGCGGTGCGGTCCGCATCCTGCCCTTTGGGTTGGGACATTTGGTGCTTTGCTTCGGGGAAATCCCTGTCCCCAGCGGTGCACAGCCTCCTGCAAAGCCGCTCAACCCAAAGGGCTCGGGGACAAACCTTGGGCTGGGCGGGACAGAAGGGATTGTGCATGTTGGGATCCAAAATCCGGCGTACAGAGCCGAAGGGTGCAGATGGGGAGAGCAGCGGTGCCGTGGCCAGTCACTCCCCAGCACACCAGATCCAGGAAAGCACCAGTGCCCCGGGCAGGAGTTGGCTGGAGGAGTTTTGCATCCACGGGATTTTCATGCTTTGCTGTCTGGGTCCTTGTCCTGGGCTTGTTTTCTCTGCAAAGCCCGACTCTGGCAGGCCGGGCTCTCCTGGAGGAGAGCAGCGGGCGGGGAGAGCCCGTGTCCGTAGGCACCATCCTCCCCATCCCTCCTTTGGGGGGGGGGGGAAATCACGGTGCCCCAACTCGCAAGCAAGAAGAAAACTGGAGATGCTGCTGTAAATGGGTGGTGGCCGCATCCTCCGGCTGAAGCTGGGGGTCTCGTTTCTCACGAAGGAGGGTGGAGGTGGGGGGGGGGGCCAAGAAAAAAACTCAGCCCACCCCCTACCCCGGGAGCGAGGGCTTTGGGGCGGTCTGAAAAAACAGTCGCCGGGCAAAGCCGATGAGTAAGAGCTTAACAATTAAGCACTTTGGTGTAAAATCGTGCTTTTGACTTTCACACAAACCCTTCCAAAAAATGAAACAGGCTGGGAAATGGCCTTTGGCGAGAGCTGGCGGGGCCGGCGAACGCCAAAGCAGGGGAATCCTTTCCGTCGGGTGGCTCAGATGCAGGTTTTTATTCCTCTCTGCTCTCTCTCACTCCAATCCTCTGTCTGAATGAGCGACAGCCTGGCTGGGTGCGCGCACAACTCTGCTTTGCTGTAGGCTTAACAGTTACACACCTGATGCTCCCAGTCATAATATTTTTATTTCTGTATTATCCCTTTATGGAAAATACCTCATTTTCTCATTTTTTTATTTTTTCTGCATTCTTTTAGAGGAAAAGTCCGGTAAGAAATACACTTTTTTTTTTTTTTTTTTTTTAATCTCTCACAATTTTTTAACACAGTCTTGTGTTCTCTTGTTTGCACGGTCCCTGTTTTGCATGTCTCTAGAGCTGAAATGTAAAACGCAAGTAACAAATCCTCCCATTTTGGAAGGCATGATGTTTATTATTTTCCCTCTCCCTTGATTTAACTTAAAGCATTTAAAGTAGAGCTAGGCTGTCTTTGCTTTGAATGTGCATAGTCTGGGGGGATGGTTTGGGTGGAAAAAGCTGGTGGTTTTGGACAAGATACATAAGGGCACAGTTTTGCCCGGGCACGTTTTACGTATCTCATTGCACATCAAAAGGTAGGAGAAAAACCCATCGGTGGCCAATGACCTCCGGTGACGCTGCGTGCCGCGGTGACGGCTCCCCCCGAAAGGACTGGGCTGTTCCGAGCCCAAAATGGGGAAATTCCCCCATTCCCTGGGGTTTGGGGGTCCCTCGGGATGCTGCTCTCCCCATGGCCAGGGTGTCCCGCCAGCCCGTGGGTGCCGGGGTTGGGGGGGGGGGGGGGGGGGGGGGGTCTGCGTGGAGGAGGAAACCCACCCGGTGAAGCCGTGACGGAGGGGGTGCAGGGGGCGTTGGTGGGGACTTGGGGTGCTGACCTGTCGCTCTCTGACCAGGTGTCTCTTCTCTCTTCCTTCTCGCTGACCGCAGCGACGCAGCCCGGTAAGCACCCCCTGTTTCTATCCCCCCCCCAGCTCGGGGTGTGGGGGTGCTGGTGGGGTCCCAGTCTGCGCCAGGGTTCCGTGGCAAGCGCAGGGGAGCGAGGTGCCCGTGCTGTTGCCCACCCCCATTGTGTGACCCCCAGGGATGGAGGGGGCCTTTGTCCACCCCCCCACCCCCCCCACTGATGCAAAGGGGTCCCCAATAACGGGCAACCCCCCACGGTTCAACCCGGGGTACCCCAGCTGCCTGTCCCCCCTCCGGCAGGGCTCCTGCTCCCCTCTGCTGCACAACCCCTCGGGTCTGGGGGGGGGCTGTTGGTTTGTTTTGCGTGACGAGCAAATATTTAGATTGCTGAAAATACATTATTTGGCTTAAATTGATTTACAGCCATTGAACACAAGGATTTGGGGTTTATGCCATTTCTAACGGGGTGAGGGTATCGGTGACCCCCACAGGCCACTGGCAGCGTGGCTCAAAATCCTCTCAGTAGGATTTTTTTTTTTTTTTTCCTGCTCTCCATATGTATTTTCTGCATCCCCGAGAAATACATTCTGGGCTTATTTCAGCCACGTACATTAAATATCACCTTAAATAGGCCACCCCTGCCACATCTGCCGGGCTGCTTTGCTCTTGCTGTGTCCCTCCTTGGGTGACAACTGCCATGCGGCCGTGTCCCTCTGCATCCCGCTTACCTCCTGTGTTTCTAATTCCAGGGGACGATTAAAAGGAATTTATCCAGTAAGTATGCTCTGCAGCCTTTGAGAAGAGTCATTAGTGCTGGCAGGGTAACGGTGATGGTGGTGCTTTGGGGAAGGGAGGGGGAAAAATAAAACAGAAAGGGAATGTTAGGATTGTTTTAAAGTGGTTCTGGCAGGAATGATGGCACCCAAATATTTTGCTTAAAGAAGGCCATATGGGACATCCTTAGGTTGTCCCATAGGAACAGTGCAGCTCCCTAGTCTAGTTCTCTACACAAATAAAATCTGAATTAAAACCCAGGCTTTTTCCTGCCAGCATCTCCCCAGGAGGGGTGGGATGAGGCACGTCCTGCGGCTGGTGGGAGCCCTCCAGCCAACACGGGGTTCAGGTGGGCTGGGGGTGATGCTGGGGGGGGGGGTGGGATCGGCTCTAACCTGGCACCTTCCATCCTGTGCTGCAGGTGAGGAGATCGCACGGCCCCGGCGCTCCACGCCGACGCCGGACCCTGCCAGGTCAGTCCGTCATCCCGCTGCGGGTTTCAAACCTTTCAGCAGGCCCGTTTGCACCGTTGCTCAACGGGGAAGCATCTGCTTTCCCTTCCAGGTTTTGATCCTTTTTCATCTCTGCGCGGATTAGGTCAAACCCAGAATAAAAGGCAGAAAATTCACTGGGTATTTACTGCCGTGTAAATACTGCCAACCCCATCACCTAGCTGAGCCGCCCCAATCTGGCTCATCGCCGCTGCAGAAACATCACTTTTATAACTTTTTAGGCTCATGAGACAGCCAAATGTTTTTTTTTTGTTTGTTTTTTTGTTTGTTTTTTCCTTTTTCCATGTAGTCTGGAGTAGCTCTGACTAATCCTGCAGCAACCCCCCAGTGCCCCGGCGCCTGCTTGGCCACTACAGGGTTTGCACCACGTGCTGTTCTTTCCATTTCTCTGCCCCAAAACCCTGTGTTTTGCCAGGTGCCTGTTAATCGAGAACGTAAAATGCCCCCTGAAAATACAGATATTTGTACTCGAACGTCGGGTGGGAGCACCAACCTTGCCCCTCACGGTGTTCCTCTGCGCTTGTCTCGTCCCGCAGCAAGAAAGCCGGGGAGGACCCCGCCGCGCTGGCCCCGCTCTTCGGGCCCCCCCTGGAATCGGCGTTCGAGGAGCAAAAGTTGGACGGTGGGTCCGGGGGACACGGGTGGCATCTCCTGGCAGTGACCCCCGGCCGTGCCGTGCCCCGGGGCCGGCTCGTGGCACCCAGCTCTGCTGGGATCGCTCCCCCCCAACCCTCCTCTTAAAGGAGGGGAAACCCCCAAATTAAAGCAGAAAGCAGAGGGATTGCGTTACAGGGGTTGGGGTTCCTGTGGGTTATGCAGGAACAGAGCAAGCATTTAAGTCAATTAGTTAACGAGGGGGTCTTGGGACAGATCCTGAAAGGGAGCAGCTAACGAATATTAAAAACATTGACTTTCAAAGGGAAGGTTTTGCCTGTTTACAGCGGTGGCCGTTAGCTTCCGACGCCGCGACAGCAGTTCAGCATCACGCTGATTTAATTGGAGGAAGATACGAAGGGAGCAGCCTGCCAACGCTGTACAGCTCCCCGTGCCCATGAAAATGTCATCTCAGTAATGTCATTTTTTTTTTTTTTTTTTTTTTTTTCCCCCCCCCAGAAACAACATTCCCCTGGACAGGAGTATAAGGACACTTTGCTCCTTCCAAGTTTTCTTTTTATTTTTTCTTTTTTTTTTTTTTTTTCTGTACAGCTTTCCCAAAGCACAGCGATCACGCAAGGCTTGTTGGCCCCAAAGAAAAACCCCATTCACCGCGAAATGGCTGCTGCCACTTGTAGCCTAGTTATGCCTTGTAATTAATGACTCCAGTTAATTCTTTTAATCAAAACTATTTGCTTGCAGTCCTCTACACATAGGCCCCCACACATACCAAAAAGGGCAAAAAGTTTAAATGAGATACGGAAGATGGTTTTTTTTTCCCCCTTATAACCTCTGTGAATATAATTGGATTTTTCATTTTAATACCTGTTTTTTTTCTCCATATCCTAAAATTCCAGATGATTTTTGCAATGAATGCAATGTTTCACTGAATGTAATAAGCCTCCAAATACATAAATGGTATTGTTTTGTCTGTCAAGCAGCATGAGTGTCAAACTAATTGCATGTCCTGTTTTAAAAATCAGGCAAGCTTGTAATTATCTAACATTACAGAAAACCCCCTGTCTTTAATTAACAAGAGGTTTCTGTCACAATTTAGTTTCCTCACAAGCCTCAGATGAACACGTCTCATCTGTGTGTTTTGGTATTTTTAAAAGGACAGTAGGTTTTATCACTGCCTTTGCATGTGTATTTGTTTATTTTTTATTTTTTTTCAGCTACTCTGGATCAGCCTGAGATATGGGGTTCGGTCCAGCCCGCCAACACAAACGTAGAGTCCCCGAAGCTACCGAGACCTTTTCCAACTGGAAGTAAGTGACTGTGCAAGTTATCAGCTGAAAATAATATACACATAAATCAAATCTTCTACTTTTTTCTTCCCCTGGCTCGCCTCCAGCTGCAGTGCATCGGGGCGGAGGAAGGGCAGGGGTTTGATATGGGCTGGGATGGATGGTACCCGGGGGCTGGGGGAGACGCGGTGCATCCTCCCCGGCCGGGGGAGCCGCAGCTTTTCCCCCTCCCCAGCTGCAAAAATCTCATTTTCCTTGTCGCCCTGCTCCCTTTCCCTCCCCTCCAGCCATCAGTGTGACTTGTGTCCCGCCAAACCCGCCCCAGAGCTGCCGGGCCAAGGTCAAGGCACCCTCCGGCCACCCCATAAGCTTGAGAGGGGATTGTGACACTTGTGATTGAAATAGTTGCTTAATGGTGCCGAGCTGCTCCTCCATCACTTACATCTGCCTTGCAAAAATGCCCCGGTAAATCAGGATTCCTCCTCCTGCACGTGCATCCCGGATCCGTGAGGGATGGGCACGTGAGAAATGCAGAGGCAGATATGTGCCTCGGAGGCTACAGGTTTTAATTATAATGGTAATTCAGGTTTTTAAGACACAAGTGAGGTCTAAGATTTAAAATGGGGGGGGAAAGCCCCAAAAAACTAAAACCCAACCAAAGAAACAACTCATACCCAACCGAAAAGGCCACCAGTGATTTCTTGTCACTTGGTGAAACGCCGAGGAAAATTTTTCCCAAAGAAAACAGCCAGCCACTGGAATCATCTCCCCAGGGAAGCGGCGGATTCCTCACCTTTTCAGACTCAGCTGGACCGGGGAGCTGGGCCAGCTTGTCTAGGCTGGGCTTTGCCAAGAAAGGTCGGACCAGCTGATCCTTGAGGGCCTTTCCAACCCGGGATTCCGGGATGCTCCTGCTCGCCCGGCAGTTATCCCAGGGCTGGTGCTGCCCCCCGCCTTGCCCCTCCAATCCCACCCCCCTTTTCCAGCAAACCATACATTTTTCTTTACGTCCTACAACGGCGTTTTTTCCCTTTTTTTCTGCTCTGTTTCGCAGCTCCTCCACCGCTCCCACCGAAGAACATCCCGGCCACGCCGCCGCGAACCGGCTCCCCGCTGACGGTGGCAATAGGTAAAATCTCGGCGCTGGACCCCTGTGCCATCGCCCAGCCCCGGTAGCTTGATGCAGAGTCTTGGGGTGGGGGGTGTCAGGTCCCCACAGCTGCATTTGGGACACGGCTTCAGCCCCCGTGCACCCTCCTCCCCTCTGCGGTCGCGGTGTTGCAGCGGGTGCCGCAGCCGGGGCGATGCTTTAGGAGCGGTGCCAAGCTGCCTTTGACTCCTGAGCCAGTGTTGCCCTGGGGAAATTCATGCTCTTTCCTCCCCCACCCCCGATTTTGGGATCCGTCCCTTCACTTCTAGAAACGAAAAGCAACGTTAGCCTTCAAGTCCTGCTCAAAATTGGGAATAAACAGGGCGCTGTTACCCCTTGGAGCAGCGCAGGCTGGGCTTGATGGAACAACGGGGCGCGCGGTGCCTGCCTGTGCCAGGGGAGCGGGTCCTGCCCTCCCAAATTCCTCTTGCCCTCCCAAATTCTTACTGCTGTCAGGGAAGGTGGGAAACCCCCCGCCCAAGGACGGAGAGGGGCAGGGGGGAGAGAACGAAATGGCACCTGGAAGAAAAGACAGACTGAAGGAAGGGATTGAAGGACGTTGTTGAGTGCAGCTAGGGGACGTAAGGTGCTTATAAGCGTATAATTCATGTTGCTGGGCGGTGGAGGTGTGGGTTTTGAGGAAAGAAGGGCCATTCCTGGTCGTTGAGGAGGGCTCTTGGGGCGGGGGGGACCCCGAGTCTGGCTGCGCACACACACGTACCGGGCGCCTCGGGGCGTTGTTAACCTCGCCGTGAAGAAATCCCCCCGCGATATTTCATTCGTGCTCCCGTATCTTGATTTTTCTATTCGTGTCAGCAGCCAGACGGGCAGAGCGACCACCCACACCCATAGACCCATCAGCACGAGCAACCGCCATGCCCGGCCACGCGTGATGGTTTATTTGCTGGGGGGCTGCCTCGCTGCACACTCCAGCCTGTGCAGCAAGCACAGCAGGCGGCCGAGGACTATTTTTTTTTTTTTTTTTTTTCCCCGCTTTTAGCAAAACTAGATTTTTAGCCCCTAGCCGCGGAACGGCAGACAGCTCCCCCGAACGCAGGAGCAGGGGAGGGATGCTGACGCGAGGAGCCCCGAGGGAATGTTAGTTTGAGCCATAGGCACGTAGCCGGAGCCACGGGCTCCTGCGGTACCCGGGCGCTGTAGCCACGCCGTGCCCGGGTCCTCGGCTCATCCCTCCCTCCATCTGTGCCAAACGAAGCACTGAGCATCCCTCCCGGCCCCGCAGGGCTGCCCGCTCCCCCCGGCTCCAGCCCTCGGGGAGGAGAAACGCAGCAAAACAGGGCACGGGAGGGAGGAAGGCTGGTGGGGGATCTCCCTCCTCGGGGTGTGTAACGCTTTGCTGACGAATCCTGTCTCCGTCTTGGTTGTGAAGTCGGGTGTGAACGGTGATGTGGGGCAGCTCAGTTGGTGAGCAGAGCCCTAAAATACTGCTGCTGCTTGCAACCAAAATACATACACCCTGTCTGCTTTCCTTGTACTGCATGCCCAGCACCGGATCTTGAGAGTGTCAAGCCACTGTGTTCAAATATATATATTTATACCTGTGTGTTTATAAATATATATATAGAGAGTGGCATGTGCAAGAGAGCTGAATGCATAAGTTTAAGATCTGCTGATGCTTCGGAGCGGTGATAATGACATGATGATGTTATTTAGTCGATAGGTACAGAAGGCTGAGCGCCAGCTGTACGTTTTGGGGAGGACGGGGGGGGCCGTTGCGTAGGGAGCGGTGGAGCTCGGCTCGTGGCGCATGCTCTCTCTCATGCAGTGTATGTATTTCAGTCCGGTGTGGTTCATTTTACATTGCACGTGACCTGACCGTAGGAAAACCTTCTTGCACATGAATTATATTCCCCGGCAGCTTATAAGAAAACGTGCTTCTAAAGCATCTCCTCTAGAACGCAGCTGACGTAGAGAATAGTGCGACTGCAGCGCTCTCGGTTAATGCTAAGTGTAAAATAAAACTACTTTGACCGCAGGAGGGGACCAGACAGCAGCAGAGCTCAAAAGTGACAAACTTCCGTCCATCAATGACTTGGACAGCATTTTTGGCCCCGTGCTCTCCCCCAAGTCTGCTGCTGTTAACGCAGAAGACAAGTGGGTCAATTTTTCCGATCAATCCCCGGAAAACGCGACTCCGGAGTTGACGCCCCGGGAAAAAGCGGGGTCCCCGCCGGCGGCAGCGGGCAGCCCGGCCGACGCTGCGGCGGCCGAGCCCTCCCGCCCGCTCCCCTCGCCGCTCCACCTGGAAGAGGTTCCCAAGAAGGTTTCTGAGCAGCCCCACCTTAAGGATGATAACTTGGAGCCGGTCGCCTCTCCCAAAGATTTGGGGCCGGGACAGAGAGCGACCCCGCCTCCCCCTCCGCCGCCCACGTACCGGACGGTGGTCTCGTCACCCGGACCGGGCGCCAGCAGCGGCACGGGAAGCACCAGCGGTACGTCCCCCGGCGTTGGGTGTGCTTCGGTGTGGCCGTGACCGCATCCGCCATCCCCGCTCCCGCCGCCGTTGCGTGCCTGTGCCCGGCGCCCGCCTTCCCACCCGGCCGTCTCGTGCTTCCACGTCCACCGTCTGCCCTCAGCCTCCTGTGTCTTCTCTCCCCGCTCCTTGCTGCGTGTCTGATGGGTCTGACCCCCCCCCCCCCCCCACCTTTTCCCCAAAGCTCCCGCGAGCCGCCCTTCCCGCCTCTGCTACGCACACAACCCCTCGATGCAAAATTCGGCACCGCTGCTGTCCTCAGTAGGCTTCAGAGTGAATACAAGTGGAAACACTTTAAGCAGATAATCTGAGCGAGCCTCAGCGCTAAGGCGGGGCGGTGGGGTGGGGGGGTTAAATCTGTTGAAGACAGACAGGTCGCCTCGTAATGTCGCCCCGGGGCTGCGGAGACCAAGTAACTTGCAGCTTTGAGGTGGCCCGAGTCTGAAGGGGCGCTTGGTCCTTCTCGGCTGCGGGAGCGTGGATGCCCAGCCAGGGCTGGAGAAACCTTTCGTCGGGGTTGAGCCAGATCAGCCTGTCTGGCTGCCTGGCTTCACCCGCTTAATTATAAATGCCCACGAGCCCGTTAGGCCAAACGAGCTCGGCGGAGGTCAGCTTACACGAGCTCTCCCGCAGCGCAACCTGATCATGCTCTATTAGAGGCTGACCCCAGGGCGCTTGCTGCGCCCCTGCAGCCACGATGTGCAAATCCCCCTCCCCACCAGCCGCCGTCCTGCACCCACGAGAAATTCTTTTTTGAGAGGAGGACCCCCACGGAGCCCTGGAGGCAGCGGGGGGGGGGGGGGGGTTGTGGTGCGGGGCCCCAGCCCTGGGCCCCAAAGCTGTGCCATCTGCTCTAGGGGGTTTGCCACCTCTGGGGAGGGGACGGGAGATGGGGTGGGGGGGGCTGCTGGGGGTGTCGTCGTGTGTCCCCCCCCCCCCCCCTAGTGTGGCTGTTGCTATGCGTGTGGCTTTGCTTCAGTGGTGGCTTTTCTGTGCCGGCTTGGCGAGGCGGGGGGGTGTGTGTGTTGGGGGGGGGGGGGGGGCCTGCAGCATCCAGCTGCTGGTGCTACTGGTTGGAGCTGGGACTCCTCTGGGAAAGGGGCAGCAGGAAGCCGAAAGTTTCTTCCCACGTCGCTCTCCACCCTGCTGCCAAGCGAGCAACGGCCCCGCGGGGGTGGGTATCTGCAGGGTGGGGACGTGGCGGAGGCTCCGCGCGTGGGGGTGGGTGGAGAGGCAGCACTGCCTCCGGGGGGGAAGATCCACGTCTCTTCCCCGCAAATTCCCTCCCGTCTCGGTCCGGCGCGCTTTGCAGCCCGCTGACACCTCAGCCTCACCCAGTGAGCTGGAAATAAAAAAAAAAAAAAAAAAAAAAAAGGCAAAGCGTTGACAGAACGCACGCAAAAATCGTGCAGGTCTTCCAAAAGCTGCACCCCGCGGTGGCCGGTCTGAGGGCGCGGTGAGGATCCGGCACCCTTCCTGCTCCCTCTGCTTTTTCTGGGGCTCCCGTTGCTGTATCCATCCCCAGGGGGGATCTGGCTTTCGGATTCCGTGGAGCAAAGTCACCCCAGGACCCCCTCCTGCCTTCGCATCCCGCGGGAGCCCGGGCTGGGGACCCGCATCCCTGCAGGCTTCTGATTTCGTGCCGATTTACAACGTGCTGCCCCGGTTTCTTGTTGTAAAAAATAGCTAGAGGTAACAGAGGTCTCCCAGGGACTTTAAATAATTGAGGAAACCCCCCTGGATGAAAGCTGATGTCTGGCAGAGCTTTGGCTAGCTGGTGGCCGCCCCGGAGCCGGGGCAAAATGCACCCTTGAGGTCTCCGTCTCGTGACACTTGTTCAGTCCTGCTAGGTTACTTTCCCTGAATAATTCCTATTTTGTCAGGCTTTGATTGGGATAAGGAAGGGAAAAAATCAAGCTTTGGTTCCCAAATTAGGCTTCTAAATAAAAATGGCTTGGATTTTGGAGCTGTGCAAATGAATGGCCAGGATTTCCTCTCTTTAAACAAGCCCGTCGCTTGTCTTAGCCTTCTGCTGTTTACCTCGCAGTCTTATCTCTGTGGATCCAGCTTTGATATTTCCTTAGCGTGAGCTATCGCCCAAAAAGCTTAGTAAACGGATTCTCTTGTAAACGGGAAAAATGAAGCTAAAGCCATCATCTTATTGACAGCCTGAGCGAAACAGGCCTCTCCGCAGATCGTGACGCGCTCCCTGAAAAACAGGGGGTGGGGGGGTGGGTGTCCCCCCACTCCTTCCGCCCCTCTTGTCTCGGTGCAAGCCGTGACCGCTCCGCACAGCACCGGTTATTGCTGAACTTACCCCGGAAGGAATTTTCGTACGCGGAGCAAACCAGTCTGCAGTCTCCTCTTCGGCATCTGTTCAAAAAATTGCAAAAAATTCACCCTGCAACGCAGCGAGCCGCCGGGGGAACCCCGACAGCAGCACCCCCTGTTCTCTGAAACTCGCCCAGAGCGCTGGGAAATGCATAAACTTGCTCTTCCACCCTTCCTCTTCTTCGCTCGGATAGAGCTTTGCCCTTCTCGTCAGCACCCCTCGTTCCTGTGGTTGTATTTGGGTGGGGGGGATGGTGCCAGCCCCAGGAGCCGCGGCATCGGCACCAGCAATTCCCCCCCCCCCCAAAAAAAACTCTTCCCCGCTCTGTGCAAAGCTGCTGGTGCGGCTCAACACTGATGGGGAGATTGTGCCGTGCGTGCACGGGGCGAGAAACCTTCGCCTCGAGCTGGGGCACGGGTGGGCAGGGGGGTGGGAAGCCTCGGGGAGGGGGGGTGGCCCAGCCTGTGGCGTGCTCACGGTTCTCATTTTATCGCAGGTTCCTCGTCCCCAGCTCGTCCCGGCACGCCGCTGGCTGCCTGTGGTACCCCCCCACCACCGCCACCACGACCCCCCTCCCGGCCCAAGCTGCCCCCCGGCAAGCCCGCCGTCGCCGACGTGGTACGTTCACGGGTGGGAGCGTGGGGTGGGAGGGGGTGCGTGCGCCCGCGGGGCGGGGGGCGCGGGTTTCAGGTCTGCATTTGCAGTCCGGTGAGACGGATCAACGGAGCGAGCGATTAAGAGCAAGTAACCAGCTGGTTCAAACCTGGGCTGGTTAAATTTTTCTATCGTTTGCTCGCTGAGGTGAATCACGTGTGGAAAAAAAAGGGGCTGCGAGGGGCTGCCGGCACAGCCCCCCAGCCACCGGCGAGCGGTGCTTCGCCCTTACGGCAAAGGCAGAAAATAGGTGTGAAAAGGGAGCGTGCCCGTGGGAAGGGTCCAGCCGTGCCCACCCACCCACGGATAAAGCAGAGTGGGTCTGGCCACCCCAGGAAAGGGGTCTGGTTGGTGGGGGGGGGGGGTGCCTGGACAACTTCAACGGGGTTCCCCACCTCCGTACCGTGCCGGATGGTCCACCGGGTCCTGCCCCACCGGGTCCTGCCCCACCGGGTCCTGCCCCTCTGGGTCCTGCCCCACCGGGTCCTGCCCCACCAGGTCCTGCCCCACCACCCCCCGGCTGCTTCAGGTAAGCGGTAAAGGATTTTTGGCTCGATGTTACGGATGTAAAATTGTCGCCAAAGGATCCGCAAGGACCCAGCGAGCGGCTCCCCGGTGAGCTGGCACGGGGAGGGCACCGCTGCCTTCGGCATTAAATCCACCCCACGGGTGCTCCTGTCTCCCGCAGACAGAGACTTGAAACGCCCAACCCCCCAGGACAGTGGGAATCGTTTGCCAATTTCTCTAGGTCTGGCCTAAAATGCCATGGGGACTAAAAGAACTAAAATTGTTCAGTTTTGCAGCGGGGCTGCCCCGGGGCCGGCTGGCCTGGCGGTACAGAGGGTTTCGGCTTCAGGCAAAAGCCTTCTGTATATTTGATGCAAATGTGGCTGTGCATATTTTCTTTAACCTTTTGTTATTTTATGTTTTTCTACAGTCCAGGCCTTTTAGCCCTCCTATTCACTCATCCAGCCCTCCTCCGATAGCACCTTTAGCCCGTGCTGAAAGTACTTCTTCCATATCTTCCACCAATTCCCTGAGTGCAGCCACCACTCCCACCGTTGGTAAAAACATACAGCACTGCTGTTCTTTCACCTTTCCTACCTCTTAAAAGATTCCCGAAACCATTTCGCTTGCTAGATTGTTCTTCAGGTTCACGTTCATTCATTTTCATTAGGTTTTTAAATGCAAAAAGGGATTTGAGGGGGGTGTGACGGATCACGAACGTGATGCTGCTGGGGAAGCTTTCTGTGTCGCAGTTCCAAATGTTGTGAAAAAATGAACGTTTGGCGAAGGTAGAGGTTATCACCAAGTGAAATAGAAAATGTGCTTATGGTCTGTAAATGTGGTTGAAATAAGCTTTGGGGGGGGTGGGGGGGTGGGGGGGTGGATATGCTTGTACCTGGAGGGAAGGGGGGCTGGAAGCCAGACCTTGGGATCCAGAAGACAACTAATATTAAATCCCTTTGAATGTCTTAAATTTGTACTTCTCCTTAAAGTGGTAGTGGGAGACAGGGTCTTGGAAAAGGCTCTTCCAAACCGTTAGCTTGCCACATCCTAGACCACGACAAAGCGCTGCAGTTTTCTTTTGGAGGAATGTCCTGGAAAACCATGGGTTTTGCCAACCCCCCCCCCCCCCAGGTGCCCCCCCCTTCCCAGGGGCCTGAGTCGAGAACTGCAATTCAAGTCTGGCTGGCAGCTCCCAGGCTCCACGCGCTGGGTCCCTCCGTGCCTCCCTCCTCCATCCCCCCCGCCATCCCTGCCACCCCCCCGGCCGCCAGCCCCCCCACCCCTTGCTTCCCGCAGCTCCATCTTCTACCAGGAACGCCTTCCTCCTTTTTTTCTTTCCATGGTTTTTTTTTTTTTTTTTTGGTTTGTTTGTTGGGTTTGTTTGGTTTTTTTTTTTTTTTGAAATTTCTGAGGTGAGCACGCCCACTTGGCGCGGCGGGGAAGGAGCCTTCGGCAGGCGGACGGGCTCTGCGGGGGGACCCGAAATCCCATCCCGCCCCAAAAACCCGACCCTACAAACCTGGCTGGTCATCCTGCCGGCGGCCTTTGTCACCCCCTACGAACCATTGGGGGGGGGGGAGCGGCAGCATGGCCCCCCCCCAACACCATCCGTGACGGGTGGGAGGCGATGGGATGGGCTGAGCCACGGGCGCCCACCCGAGCCCTCCCCGTAGGTTTGCTGGAATATCCCCCGACCTGCGTCTCCATCCCGTTGTTTGCTTCACTCTCGAGGTGTCGTCGATGCTTGTACCTGTTCGCCGGCTGTCGGTCACCGTCACAGCATGCTGCTGTTTAAAAAAAAAAAAAAAAAAAACAACCCACCCCAAAATCAACCCCCTGCATCTCAAGCGAGGGGCCAGCCAAGCCCTGAGCATCCCCGGTGTGTCGGCTGTCGGTTCTGTCTGTGCCCGCTGTCCTGGGCTGGTGGTGGCCTCGGCCGGTGCCCGTGGGCACGGTGGCCGTGGGGCAACGGTGCTAAACACGATTTTGGTGGAGGGGAGCAGCCAGGCCGAGCACAGGGATGGTCGGGGGGGCTTCAGGAGGGCGGGAGAAGTGGCTATGAAATAGGGGCTGCGTGCTGGTCCTGTAGGCTGAGCAGGCAATGGGTCCTTTAGGTTCTTATTTTCATTTTGGTTCTGTTTTTTGTTTTTTTTTTTTTTCTCGCTGTCACACATATTTTTGTGAATAAAAATCGCTGCTCGATGTTTTTAATGACTTACCCACCCTGAGCAGCCGGGGGCTGATGTGGCTGGGAGGGGGGGACCAGAAGCTGTGCCCGCTGGCCCCAGCAGCTCCCACCCCCTCCACGAGGGTTTTCCTTGGAAAAAAAAAAAAAAAAGCTGAAATCAGGGCTCTCGGGTCACCCCTCGGCCAGCGGGACACCCCCAGTTTGCGGGTTTTGCACTTCCAGCTCCACGCAAACCAAGTGGGCGGGTGCCACGGTGCCAGGATTTGGCCTGGAAAAAGGCAGATTGGGGGGGTGGGGAGGGGGGGGGAAGGCACAGGGGGTTTGGGAGCTGCTCCAGGAAAGCCCCAAGCATCTCTCCCCATTGTCCCCACCGAGGTGGCCGGGACGATCTTCTAATTTCTGGGTTGGTCACGCAGAAAAAAAAAAAAAAAAAAAGGCAAAGATAAAGTGAAAGGGGTGCAGGGCAGAGGAGGGGCCGGGAGCTGGGCTGCGTGGGCAGGTCTGGGGGTCCCGTGGGACCGGCACGGGGCTGCCCCCAGCCCTCGGCTCGCCACCGGCTCCGTCCCCACCACGCTCTCCGTCTCTTGTTTCCCGTGGCAAAGTCCGGCGGAGTTTGTCCGAGAGCATGCGGAAGAGTTATTCCATTTATTTGTCCTCCGTGCTGTTCTGGTTTGCTTTCGTTGTGGTCGCATGTGCAGTCTGAATAATTTATCGCCAAGAAAGAAGCTGTGATTTCTGTGTCAGCGCCCCTTCCGTTAGTTTTCTCGTTAAGAGCCTTCTCTGTCTTTTTTCACCGATACAGCGCGCTGCTCGATTTCATTTGGGATTCGTTTTTTCATTCTTTTTTTTTTTTTTTTTTTTTTTTTTTCCCCCCCCTTCCTTTCCTTTGCGTTTCTTCTGCTTATGTTGTCAGAAGATGATGCTTTTAGTGACAAACTGCCCGCGGCTGAAATGCCTGCAGGTACTGTACTAGCAGGGCGCTCTCGAGACATCTGCCTTGGGAGCAGGGGGGGCTGCGGGCACCCCGAGTGCCCGACCCCGGCACCCACCGCTCACAGCACCTTGCATGACAGTTTCTCAGTGCCAAAAAGGACTGCGAAGTGAAAGGCTATCGCCTCCTGAATTCATAAAGGTTAATTTAACAGCTCAAAAAAAGTCTTTTTTTTTTTTTTTTTTTTTTTTTCCCCCCCCCCTCCCCTTTACTCTCAGTTATTTCGACAGTACCTGGTGTCTAACGTGGCTGTGGAGGCGGCGTGAGCGCAGGGAGCTGGGAATGGGAAAGGAAAAAAAATCCAGCTAGGCATCTCCTGCTCTGTGTGCCCGTGTCTCTGTTCCTCTGCAAGTTTTATGTCCTGAAACGCAGCAGAAAATACCTACGTTTCACTGTCACTTATTTTGCACACCGGTGTGGCACGCGACCCCGCCGGGGACCGCTCGCTGCTGCTGTCGTAGCACGGCAGAGACGTCGCCGGAGGTGAAGAGGATAAGGCACGTTTGCCCAAATCAGCACAGTTAGACTGTGCTAACGGAGTGCATGAGCCGAGAAGCCTCTTCTACTCTAGACAAAAAAAAGAGAACCCCCCCCCCAAAAAATCCTGACCGAGAGGGGAAAAATATTCTTCCATCTGGGCTTCCATAGCTTTGCTTTCTGCTTTCTGTTTCCTGAGCCAAAGCCAGAATTTAAAAGGCACCCCCTTTCCTTGCACGTGAACGGCTTGCAGCGCCTCGTCCCCTCCCCGTAGCGAGATAAATAACCTGCTCTGTGACTCACACTGTGTCCTTCTCTCTCCCTCTCCTTAACCTTTCCCATCCCGCTTCAACTCCTGGCCATACAGAGAATGAACAGCCTTCCCTCGTTTGGTTTGACAGAGGAAAGTTTTATTTGACTTTCGAAGGTAAGTAGTGCATAGCATACCCGGTAACGACTTGCTCCCCTTGCTCTTGCTCTCTGACTCCCGGGGTTTCCTCCAGTCCGGCTTTCCGTGAGAAATGCTATGGCTACTTAGACGACATCGCAAGTTCAACCAGAAAAAAATTTTGATTTGACTTGTGCCATTTATCCCGATGATCTGTTTCCCTATTTATTAAAAAAAAAACAAAAAAAAAACAAAAAAAACCCAAAACCCAAAAGAATATTCTCGTACCGAGACTGCGGTGAAAACCAGAGAGCGAAACCACTTGCACTGCCGAGGAACTTGACTCTGTCAACCAGGGCTTCTTTCTACTCTCCCTCGCAAGCTGCTCGTTACCCTGAGTGGGCTGTGGCACCAGTGCCGTTAATTAAAAACCCAGGGGCGACGGTTTCTCTGCCAAGCTGGGACCCCCTCCCCTTCTCCCACTGGATTTTTGTGGCGGTGCGGGGCCGGGAGCTTGCCGGCACCTCCAGCCAGCATCAGCCAAAACGCCACCGCGCTGCGGGTTTCGGGGCCCCTCGTCGATGAGGTGTTGGGGTCCCTCGTTGGTGAGAAGGTGTGTTGGGGAGGGGAGCTTGTTTTGGGGAAGAGAAGGCAGAGGCACGGGTGCCTGGGCGGCCAGCCCCGAGGCTTTGGAGGAAGCCTCATCTCACAGACGCCATGCCTATATTTTTCTTAAAAAAAAAAAAAAAACAAAACAAAAAACAACAAAAAGAAGGAAAAGCAGGGAGGTTTGGTGGCAGCAGAAATAGGTGATTTAAAACCCGAAGGAAGCGCTCGGAAGCTGTTGTGGTTGCAGGCAGAGCTGGGCTGGGGGGGATGCTGGTGGCACGGGGCACGGCTCCCGGGGAGGGTCTCGCTCGCGGGGAAGCGCCCGGACCCGCGTCCCCTCCGGCAAACAGCCGAGCACGGGTTGCTCGTTTTTGGGGAGCAACCCCCAAAACCGAGCCGTTATCCCTCAGTACGGGCACCCTGCGCATCCCGACCCCCCCCTGCTCTGCGTTCCCTCCTCGCTCAGCCTCGCGCCGCCAGCACCTCTAGAGTTTGGGGGGTTTTTCTTGTGGTTTTGCATATTAATGTTTTCATAACGGTAGATATGAATTATTATTATTGTGGTGGCAGCGTGAACGGTCTAGCGAGGCGGGGGCGGGTTTCTCCGGGGCACGGCAGCCAGGCTCATCGCACGGCCCAGGATTTTCCCCATCTATCCCAAAATCTTGGAGTCCAGCTGAAAAAAAGCAAAGCTAAACTTCAATGCTCATCTCTAAGCAGGCAAAAGGAGACCTGCTGGGTTTGGCAGCTGTAACTCGGGGCGTGAAACAGCAGAAGAGAAATGATCTTTTGTTTCTGGCTTTGTTTTTTTTTTTTATGCTAAGATCTGGGTATTTGCAGAACGTGGGGTAGTTGGTTTGTGTGTGAGAAGACGCGGTGCGGCTTTGGTGATGCTCTCCCGGGCAGAGCTGTGTACCAAGACCGCTGGTACTCAGCTGTCCTTACTCCACCTCTGTATTTTCCAGCTTCGTGTAGGGAAAAGTAAGGCAGGTGAACCTGGTGCGCTGCTTATGGCTGGGTCCAGAGTTCCATAAAGTGGATTTTTTTTTTTTTTTCCCCCCCCTTCCGGCATTCTCAGGTAATTTTGCCAAAATGAAAAGTTGCTAAAAATTACTTCTGAAGCAGTCACTGAAAAGCCAGATTTTTGGTGGAGGCGTGCCACAGTAACTAGACTTGTCTCTCAAGTTTCTGGAAAAGAGAAGAATTTTAGGGCTTCTAATAGATCATACTTTTCTTTTTACGTTAAAGTTTTTATTTAAAAAGTTGTTTAGTCTCTGAAGCCATTAGGAGAAGAATCTATAGGCTCATGAGAGAAGAATGGAAGGAACTGAAAACCCCGAATGCCAATTACATCCACGTGATTTTTATTCGAAGTCAGATTAGAAATGTGGAGGATGTTTTGTTGCTGTCACTGTTCAGATGAACTCGGATTTTCAAAGGCCAGCTGAGCTTGGCAATGGAGATACGTGAGGTGAGCTGCTTTTTCATTCCGGAGAATGAAGACATCTCATATAAGCACAGAGAAACGGTGGAAGAAATGAGAGGCTGAAAATCAGGGAAAAGGCACGTTGGTAAGAGGTGCCTGCCCCTCGTTTGACACCCCGGTGCGGGGTCTAGGCTAAACCTGACTGCAGCCAGGCCACGTATGTTGGGGAGGTGTTTTGTTTTTTTTTTTTTCTTTTCTCCCAAAGAATAATGATTATACCGCCAAAGATCATGGGCTTTGCTGCTGCTGGGTGGCTGAAGACCTTCTTCTCGCCTTCCCTGCCGAGATAAGGCTGATGTTCCTCTGCTGGGTGACCCCTCCCGTTCTCGCCCCTCTGTAGCCAGTCTGCATTGAGTGTTTTTGACTCTCGTCTGTATTTCTGGGTGGATGTGATGAGAACATCCCACCGCGTGCGGCTGGATTCGATGCTCTTGCGGGGGGGGGGGGGGGTGTTGTCACTCTGGCTGTGGGGAGCGTGGATGCGCTCTCTCATAACCCAGCAGTGGTGGCTGTGGGGAAAAAAAAAAAATCTAAAAACTACTTTCCCCTACCAGTCGAGCGGTGCTGCCCCGTGGGCCTGCGTGTCCCCCCTGCCACACGAGTGGGTATTGTGGCGGGGCTGCGCTGATCCGCGTGTTGGGCGGGTTTGGGGGGGGTGGCGGTGGCTGGGAACTGCCTGCTCTTTGACGGGATATTTGCCAAATCCCCGAGGCATAGCTCGGGGGTGCATCCCCCCAGGTGGAAAACTTAGGGAGCCCGGGGGGGGGGGGGGGGCTACCTCCCTGGGGTCGTTAGAATAATTAATGTGTGTGTGTGTGTGTGGCGGTGGGTCTGTCGTGGGTGGGTGGGATGCTCGGGCTGCCCATCCCATTTGCTGGGAGAGCCGGCCGCGCTGCACTTACTGAGCATCGTTATTCCAGGCTGTGGCTGAAATCACTTATTCCCCCGACTCTCTTAGGCTGTATGACCAAGAGGGAGACGCGTGCCTACATTAGTTTTTTACACCCTTTTATGCCACATTAGACATTGGAAGGGAAAATCCCAGCACCGGAGGGGCTCATCTGTGTCTCTAGGAGAGAGCAACTTCGGTTTTATACATTAACGCACTGCCTGCACGGATGCATTTGTAAGGCATGGCAAATCCTCCTCACCTGTGAATAACATTTTTTTTCACGATTAATATATCAAAACTCAAAGTGTAATTTAAGTGACAGATACAGTACCTTCCCCAGGAGACATTACGAACCCTGATTTCCTGCACCCAAACCCTATTATTTACTTGCACAAAATTTCCAGCAGCCGGCCAGGACCTTATAGTACATCACACAAACCCCACGGCAGATTGCTTAGATGCGAGGGGAAAAGCAACAGGGGGGAGCAGCCGGGAAAGAAGAGAGGGGATTCTTTTGGAAGACAGCCCAAGCAGTAAAGCGGGAGCTCACCAGAAACACGCTGCGTTTTGCCCAGTTGCTTTGCTTTTCCCTCATTTAATGTTGTGCGGCTTCAGCTGAAGCTGGGACATGCTTGCATGCCCTAAAAAAAAAAAAAAACGGGTTAAATTAATAGCCCGTTTCACCTCCCTGATTCAGACCCTGTAAATGAAAGTAAGAGAATTAGGGGGTGTCAGGGTCCCTGGCTAAGCTGCCCCTCCAGACACCTTTGCCATTCCTTTTTAGCTGGTTTGGGGCAAAATAATCCTTGTGCTTAACCTGATGTACAGACTATGATATATATAAAAAAAAAAAGGTTTCCAAAACGCTGCGTTGCAGAAAAATAGATAAGGCTGAACTGGAAGTGCCAGGGGTTGTGACCTCTCAAGGACTTTTTCGGGTGCCTGAGGGATCGGCACCTTGTATGTAGGTCGAGGGGGTGACCAGACACTAACCCCGGGCTGATCTTTCGGCCCTTTTCCTGGGGAATAGACGAGAGTTTTGCTGTGCCAACAGCCCCGCTCACTCTCCTCTTGGTGGCAGGCATGGGGAGCGGGATGTTGCCCCCCCACAGGGTTTCCAGCACACCCAGGGTTTCTGGCGAGCGCTTGCAGCGATGCTTTCGTCCTCCAATGTTTTTCACAGAGAGGCATTCCCGGCCAGCAAAGGGAAACCTGCATGTGATCATGCAGGACTGAATTATTTTAGAGCCTGGCTAGCATCCATGGACACACAGCACGACCGAAGCAAACTTTTCCCTTTTTTTTTTTTTAAAAAAAAAAAAAAAAAAAATCACCTAAATAAACTGTGGATTGATTGCTCTAGCTTTGGCACCCAAGGCCCCGCGTTCTCCTCTGTAGTTCCCGATTTCTGACCATTTGCAGAGTTTTGCCGTAGCGTACCACGGGCTTTGGGGGGTGAGCAGCCAGGGGGGGGCTGGGGGGGGGGGTTGCCAGGCAGGAGAGAGGAGCGTGCTGGGGGTCGCGGGGGCCCCCACAGGTTGGGGTCCCCACAGCCAGGAGTTCAGGCAGCGTCGGGGAGGGGGGGACAACTGACACCCCATTTTCAGCCTGAGCTTCTTGCCGGGGCCCAGAAAACTACTGTAAAAACTGTCATGCAAAGCCTGCTGTGTGGCAGAGCCGTGCTGGGGGGGTCCCACTGCCCCGCATGCTGCTCCCGGCCGGGGCTCTGTTATTTTCTTTGCTTGCTTTTGCAGGGCAGGGTGGGGCGGGGGGGGGGAAGATAATTTTAAAGCTTCATCCAAAGCCTGGGGGGATTTTTTCTTAATATTTACCCCTAAAGCTAGGCTGGGGCTCTCGGTGAGCACCCCCTTGCCCCCCAGCTTGGCGGAGGAGGGGGGGAGCGGTGCCGTTTCTCTCCGCACGTAAGAAATGGAGGTTTGGGTTTGTTTTTTTTTTTTGGCTCTGTCGCAGGCTCGTCGCGGGGACCCAGCCCCCTCACCATGGGGGCACAGGACACCCTGCCCGTCGCTGCCGCCTTCACGGAAACCGTCAACGCGTATTTCAAAGGGGCCGACCCAAACAAGTAGGTGCTGACCGATGGGGTGGGGGTGGGGGGGGGGGGTCCATATGGGTGGTCCTGGGGTCGGGACAGGCTTGGGGTGCTGCCGAGGTTTTGGTGAGCATCTCGAGGGATGGGGAGGGAGGAAAGGAGGCGCTCCGGGCTCGGCAGGCGCGCGTTGGGGTGCCAACCAGGGTTGGGGTGCTCCTGGGGCGTCCCCCCCCGAGCATCGCTCCCCATCCCTACCAGGCTGCCAGACTTCGCTGCTCTTTCAGCTCGCTCTGGTTTAAGATCGCAAGAGACACGCACGTTCCCCCGGCGTGGCGGGTGGGGAGCAGGGGGGGCAAACCCCCTCCCCTCCTGCTGTGTTTTGAGCCCCCCCCCCCCCCCCGTTTCCTCCCTGGCGCCGCAGGTGTATCGTGAAGATCACGGGGGAGATGGTGCTGTCGTTTCCAGCGGGCATCACCCGACACTTTGCCAACAACCCCGCTCCGGCGGTGCTCACCTTCCGCGTGCTGAACTACAACAGGCTGGAGCACGTCCTGCCAAACCCCCAGCTCCTCTGCTGGTAAGCCCCCCCACCTCACCAGCACCCCAAAGGAAGGCGGGTTTCCAGAAAAGCTGGCTGCTTCGCAAAAACACGCGGCCCGAAGTATCTGCCTTGGCAGCCTGCCCTGATTTGGGGAAAGCAACTCTCAAGCCTTTAAATATTTGCCGGAGTCCTCCCTCTGAGGGCGGCCCCTTTGCCAGGCAGAAATGCATCAGCAGAGAGGAGCAAGTGCTTTGCCAGGGTTTGCTGCTTTCGCGCCCCGCTCTGCCCATCTTTGCAAAATGAGATGACCTACAGGTTGCCTCTGCTGTGCCTTCCCAAGGGAGGTATCTCAGGATGAGCCGGAGATGCGTGGGAGGGAGGCAAGATTTCTCTAAATGTGGGATTAAACACGGGTCCCGGCCGGCGCTGCTGCCCTGCGTGCTTTGCGGAAAATTTTTCTTCCACCGAGGCGGCTTACATGAAGGGTTAATTCTCCCCCTCTGCAGTGACAACACGCAGAGTGACACCAACACGAAGGAGTTCTGGGTCAACATGCCAAATCTGATGACTCACCTAAAGAAGGTATCGGAACAGAAACCTCAAGCCACCTATTACAATGTGGATATGCTCAAATACCAGGTAGGGTGGGGGCTTTTTGTAAGATAAAGCTGTGCCAAAAATGTGTGCTTGATTTATAGACGTAAAAGATGGTATTTTCCTAGTGCAGAGTGGAGATAATGTGAGCTGAGGGCATGCTATCCAGCTAGTCCCTTGCGTGTGTCACTAGATTGCCTGATTTTGAGCCCAGTGCAAACTTTCTGTGAGAATACAAGGTCTTGTCTCCTCTGAAGCCAAATGCAATTACCGCGTCTGTAAAATGGGATTTCTCCCTCCACCCCTATGGAAACTAAATGTTTTTTCTGTCATTTTGGAAGGTATCTGCCCAGGGTATTCAGTCTACTCCATTAAACCTTGCAGTGAGCTGGCGGTGTGACCCTGCAAGCACTGACCTCCGCATTGACTACAAATACAATACAGAGGCAATGACCACACCGGTAGCTCTAAACAACGTCCAGTTCCTCGTCCCCGTCGACGGAGGAGTAACCAAGCTTCAAGCTGTGCTTCCTCCCGCCGTCTGGTAGGAACCGCTCACCCGAAAAACTGCTCGTTCCCCTTCTCTGCCGTGTCCCTGCCTCAACCAGCCGTCCTACCCGCTGGCTGCGGGAGCGGGATCGCCCTGCGAGGTGCCTTGGGGGGGGCACCCAAACCTTCCCTCCTCTTGCAAGAGGGAAACGTGCAACCCAGCTCCGATCTCCTTTGGGGTTTTTTTTGGTTTTTTTTTTTTTTTTTTTTTCCTGCCATTCCCACCAGCGAGCGGTCAGAGCTCGAACCCGCAGCGGGATAACGACCCTTCTTTCCCATTTCGGCTGTTTTTACCCCGGGGCGCAGGGCTGTCGCCGCCGCAGGCGTGGGGGATGCACGTTTGCAGCGGGGAAGCGGGGCACGGCCCCACTGCCTCTCGCCCGTCGCTCCCCTGCAGCACTGCGATGCCAGAGCGGCGGTTTTTTCCGCTCAGCTCGAGCCCAAAGCCAAGCTCCCAGAATCGCAGCTCTGGAGAGCAGCACCGGAGCTGCTCCCGCAGCCCCCGCGGCCTTCGACAAAATTCAAACGACTCCTTCGTAATTTCTTGTTTCCTACAGAAATGCTCTTCTTCATGTGTTTTTAGGAATGCCGAACAGCAAAGGATATTGTGGAAGATCCCTGACATCTCCCAGAAGTCAGAAAATGGAGGTAATCCTGCAAACGGGCATGCTATCAACTCTGAATATTTAAAGCAGACACCGACCCATTTATCCTGCCTGCACACAAGCCCAGACACACAGATTCCTGCCGGCGCTTGCCGGGGCAGGATGCTATTTAAAGCTGGGGGCAAAGAGCTTTGAAAAGCAGGGATGTGTGCCACCGGTAGTGCTTTGCCAACACCTTCGGCATCGCGGAGGGGCGTTCACACACCGGGTTTGGATGCGGTTGGCCAAGTCCTTGGCTCCATTTGCCCCTGGCCGCGTTTGAAAGCCGAATGCCCCGCGTCGCGGCCCCGTCGCGTGCACCGCAGCCTCCCACGGGGTAACCCACGAGGCTCAGCTGCTTTGTATCGCTGGGGGCTGGGGGGATGTGTGGTCTGGAAAGTTAAAATCTGCCGGGAGGATGGAGGGGCTTTGCCTCCGGTCGCCCCCGGGGGGGGGATGCTGCTGGGAGCGGGCACCTCGTTGCCTTTGCTGGGGCGGCGGGATGGGCGGCGTGCCTCTCCGGGCTTGTAAGGGTCTCGTGCGGGTTTTAAATCGCAGGCGTGGGGTCTCTGCTGGCCCGATTCCAGCTCTCGGAGGGGCCGAGCACCCCGGCCCCCCTGGCCGTGCAGTTCACCAGCGAGGGGAGCACGCTCTCCAGCTGCGACATCGAGCTCGTCGGCGCCGGCTACCGCTTCTCCCTCATCAAGAAGAGGTTTGCGGCAGGTAAGTGCCTCGCTGGCGGCTCCTCTCGGGATGGCAACGTCCCCGACCGTCCCCTCGGGCTGCGCTGGCACGCCTGGGACTGCTCTTGCTGCGCATTTGTTGGCTGTTCATGCCCTGAAGTCCTGCCCACAGCATGACGGGGCCGGCCGGTGGACGAGGGGCAAAAGCTCCCTCGCATGAAATAAATCCTGCTGCCGCTTACAGGAGCCGTGAGCTTCATGGGCTCTTTCCTGCTCGTGGGTCCTGCGTGAAAGGCAAGGTCTGGGGGTCTCCAGAAAGAGCTTTTGCCCCATTGCTACAGAGAAAGACAAATATTTCTTCTTTTTGCCCCATCGCTACAGAGAAAGACAAATATTTCTTCTTTTTGCCCCATCGCTGCATAGAAATACAAGTATTTTTCTTTTTGCCCCATCGCTGCATAGAAATACAAGTATTTTTCTTTTTGCCCCATCGCTGCATAGAAATACAAGTATTTTTCTTTTTGCCCCGTCGCTGCATAGAAATACAAGTATTTTTCTTTTTGCCCCATCGCTGCATAGAAATACAAGTATTTTTCTTTTTGCCCCATTGCTGCAGAGTAAGACAAGTGTTTTTCTGGGTGCCACTCATGCGTGGCCGTGGGTGTGGGGGCCGGCGGAGGCAGGCGGCCATCCCCTGGGAATCGGGGCTGCTCCCTCCCCACAGCTGATTTCTGATCCCGTTTCTAGGTAAATACTTGGCCGATAACTGATGGAAGCTTATGCAAGTCTATGGAAAATAATATGGAAAATACCCAAGGACTGCTGTGCGTGGAACGGGTTTTAATTACAGTTTAAGGAAAATGAACTAAATCCTGCACTCGGGACATTTCTGTTGGAAGTGTCGACAACTTTCAGCATTTTTTTCCTTGGAAAACACCGTCTTGACCAGTCCTACAGTATTTACTTCTAGATGTAACATTGTTAATGGTTTTAAAATGTAATTATTGTATTTGTAAATTGTACTCATTCCAGTAAGGCTGTATTTTGGCAGTTAGACACTTGAGTTTTAGCATTTTACCATTCATGAAATGGATGTAATTTAAACTGTGGTATATAAATTTAATAGTAGTACTGTTGAATGGCACAATGCTTACAGAGGTAGATTACATTTTGTCAATATATACGATTTAAATACAATACTGATAGCTGTTATGAAGGGGGTGCCTCATAAAAAGAGAGTTAAGTAGAACCGACATGCCGATTTTACTTTTTCTTCAGTCCTTAGTATGTCTCATGGTGGTGAATAAAAAGCTCTATCTTCAGGTTTAGCTGGTTTAACTCCAGAAAAATATTGCCGTAAATGTGGAGGTTCCTAATACAGTCCCCCAGCAAAACGCAGGGAAAAAAAAAAATCTCACTTCTACAAAGAGTATTTAGTTCAAGTTTCAATTACAAGAAGCCTCCGTGAACGTGCCCGTGTCCTCTTACGGCCGCAGATTAACCGTCGGGAGGCCCAGCCGTGCATGCGCAGGCGACGAGCGCTTCTCTTTGCCCCACATCCTCACTCTTTGCAGAGATGCAGAGAAGGAAATAAGCCAGCAAAGAGGTTGGGTAGTAAATGTGAGCTTACAGCCCTGTCTGGAACCGTTACTGATGTTTTTAAGGAGGCGTTTTCCGTACAGCCTCCAGATTTTCGGTCGCGTTTCTGTGTTCCTTTGCTCGCCTTTTCTGGTTCTTTTCGCCATTTTTGAAAGGCCCGCGGGTTTGGCAAATGCTTTAAAGACATGCAGCCCCCTCCACGCCTTTCTGTCTTACCACCCAGGCCGGCAAGCACATACGTACAAACACTGGAAAACAAAAGGCAGCCCAACCTGACCCTTGGTGGGGCACCCAGTGCCGGCGGGGGCCGGGGCCGGGGCTGGGGGGAGCGGGAGGAGCGCGGGGGGCTGCCCAAAGCCAGCGGCTCTCTGGTGGAGGTGGGAACACACACAGAAGTGCCGAACTGGGAGCAGCAGGGCAGGGGGGGCTGGAAATTGTCCCTGTGTGTTTTCTCTGAGCTGCCGGGGCACGGACCCGGGCACGGCGCGCTGCCGCTCTCTGCGCGTCGCCCGAGCTGCGTTCGGTATTTGCTGGCGTGAGTCTCAGCCTGCTGCTGGCAACACGGTGACAGCGGTCACGGCATTAACGGAGCGGCACCTGCCCAGGCGGAGAGCTCGTTTTGGTGGGAAAATGTGGCAATACAGGGGGAAAAGAAGGGCTCTTTCCAAACTTAAACGTAGTTGCTGTTCCAATGCAGAGAGAAGCACGGGAGCATCCGCTGAGCGGGGTGCTGGGGACTCTAGAAAGGAGCGAGATGGTAAATAGCGCTACTTTTGCAGTCGCAAATGTTGCCAGGATTGGGCTTGTCTGTTTGCGTTAGGAAGCTTTGACCGTGCGTGTCGGGAAGTGCTTGCTCACGGAGCGGTTTGGAGTGATGTAAGAAAACAGAAATCCACGTCCATCTTAAAAGAAAACGAGGAAATTTGGAGATATTTCAGCTCTGAGATGATTCCCAGATTTAGAATTGTGTGGTAGGGTGGCTGAGTTGCGTGCATGCTCACTAAAGGTATCAACACAGAAGATGAAGCACAATTCAGTTATGCAACTTCAGAAATCTTTTCAGTTTTTGAAGGTAAACTTGCCAGCACTCCCAGACGGAGTGTTAAACTATGTTAATAATTTTTGCCCTGAAAGGAAAATATGTATAAACTGTGTAACCTACCCCCTTTCTGACACAGGAACACAGGGCAAAATCTAAGAATCAGTTTTCACATAATTGGTTCATGCTGTGTACAATGGTTATAAACTCATACTTCCAAAAGAGATCTATGTCATAGTCCTGAAAATAAGGATTTTATAATGTAAATATGACTAGAACATAGATATTTTACTTTATATTTCATTTGAAAGACAAGGTGTTTACATTAGCATTGGGTTTTTAAATGCTTTTTAAACAAACAAACAAAAAAAAAGACACAACCCAAAGCTCCCAAGCTTGTCCCATTTGTGCTGTCCCACAAAAACGGAGGGTTTATTTTCCGGGTGCGTGGCGGTGCTGGGATGCAGCCCCCGTGGCCTGGGTAGAGAGGTGAGAAAGTCCTGCACCTTTCCTGGGGTGAATCTGCTGCCAGGCACGAGTCCGCCGCGCCAGCACGCTTGCAGCCCCGCGGGGACACGGTCCCCTTCCAGCCACCGGCAGGTGACACAAAACAGCTACTCCCAGCCCGCGACACTGGGACCGAAACCAGCGGTTTGGGACGGGTTTTTTGCCATAGTGCTTTTGCCAGTTTTTCGTGCAGTGTTTTTGGTTCGCTAGGTGTTTATTTGCTCAGGAGCGTTGAACCGCGCGTCTCCGCTTTCCCTCCCAGCACGACCACCCTCCTGGACTCCTTTGCAAGGAGACGCTGAACCCGCACTGATGGTTCGGTTTCCCTGCCCCTGTCCGACGTCTGAGCAGCGAGGCAGAGCAGCAGAGTGCCTCGGGGATGCTTATTTTGTCGGGTGTTCGTGTCTTGCATGTCATACGAGTGTGGCACGCCAGCGTTGCCCTGCTTGGGGAGGGGGAACCAGTTGCGTTTCTAAGTCTGAAGTACAGGAGACTGGTCTTTCTGCCTGGCTTTGAGAAGGTGCCAGCAGAAAAAAAAAGATTAGGGGCAGCAGCTTGGGATGTATCAGACTTAAATTTAAAGGGGCAAATAGGGGCATGTAGAGGGATGTTTATCCCCGATTCCAGCTTCTGTCGTAGCGGCGAGAGCTCCCGGCTCTGGAGAGGGCACGGGGGGGTGCGCTGCCGTGGTGTGTTCAGGGCAGTCAAGCTCTGCAGGCTTCACCTCTGTTTTTAGGCAGGAAATATTGCATCTCTTCAGGGAATGCATCCGTTTGGTACTGCCCGCCCGCTAGCAGGGAGCGGCTGCGTCAGCGGGGAGCGGGGAAGGCGGCGGCTGGCTTGCCTGTGAGTCGCCTGCGTTTCTGGAGCTGAGCATCGGCGCTCCGTTTACCGAGCGCGTGGGCCAGCGGGGCTTCTGCCAAGGAGAGCTGAGGCAGAAAAGGGGGCTCAGCACCACCCAGCGGCACTGGCACCCCTTAACTCAGCAGCACGCAGATCTGAGTTTAAAAAAAAAAAAAAAAAAAATAAATATATATATATATATAAAGGAGGCATTCAAATAATAAATAGGCGTGATGCATGCACAGAATGGCTTTAGTACTTGCGTGGACCTTTCCCTTTAGACTGTGTCCTCAGCCACCAAGGCTGAAAGCGTGGCGAGGGATTTTCCTCCGGGGTCCCCGGGAGCCGCCAGCAGCCCACGCCTGCAGGGTCAAGGTGCCCGCTGACGGAGCGGGAGCGTTTTTCCCCACGGAGACCTGCAGACTCGGGTCTTTAGATGTCAGGAGCAGGAAGTCCTTTGTTTGCAACTTTTCTTCTTCTGTTCGTTGCAAATATTCACGATCCTCAGCCAGCTTACGGTGCTCCTCACAGGAGACGTTTCAGACCCATTTTCTACTTCAACAATATTTCTTAGCAACTATGAAATTGCTCAATAGTATGAAATACTGCCAAATAATAAGCTTCTTATTTGGTGTTTGCATTTGTTCTTAAATATCACTGTTATAAAGCTTCCTCTTATTTTTTGCTGTAAGGCCACTGTCCATTAAACTCCTATTCTTGCCCAGCTGGCACGAGTTCTCGGTGCGAACGCGTGAGCTTCACTCGCAAAAGCTTTTTCACACGAGCGTGATCTTGCACTGAGGAAGTTACACAACTGCACGCTCCTCCCGACGCAGGCTGGACTTAGTTATATGGTATTTCAGTTAAATTAATTTTGTCTTCAGTATGTCCTTTCAGGATTTATCTGTTAGAGGTTTTTTAAAACACAGGTGGGGGGGGGGGGGGGGGGGAAGTTTATATTAAAATGAGATCTTGTTTTGGCCAGGCAGGGAGGGGATGGGGTGGAAGGGCAGCTTCCCAGGCAGGCTCCAGGCACCGTCACTGCGGGATGCTGTTGGGGTATCTCTCACAGCAGCTCCTGGGGTTTGGGCTGCGTGGGGAACACCAGAGAAATATGCTACTTAAACTTCTCGGTTTGTAGCCACACACACCTGCAGGTGAGACCTGTCTGCCTTCTCCTTTTAGCAGGACCACAGGGCCCCAGGGTAGTTGTTTAGTGCCCAGACGTAAAAATCAGTCAGCTCTTGCACAGGTGATTATTTCCCCACCCAGGTCCCTGCCGAGACCTTGCCGTGCTGTCCATGCTGCCACAAATCATACTCGTCTTTGCTTACCTAATTCTGGATGATTCAAACCGGCTGGCGACGGCACTCCGTCGAACCACAGCTGCAGGGATTCCTGCAGCAACAGCATCACAGAAAGAGTCACCATTTCACTTTTTTTGCAGCAGAAGCATTTTTAAATGGCTGGACTGCAATGAAAAGGTGACATATTTTTAAATGACCTAAGAGAGAGTCAAAGACCTTTTACTAAAAACGTTTGGTCCTTCTCGGACCTCTGCCTTGGCTCCCCATCTCCTTTGGCAGCGGCGTTGTTCCTGTGCCTACCAGGCACGTGGTGCAGTTCTGTGTTGCACAGTAATCCTGCTCCATTTTACCTTTTTTTTTTTTTTTTTTTTTTTGGAAATACAACCCACAGGTCTGTTACCCAAACACCCAACTTGAGAAAGCCACTTCAATACACTGAATGTAGAGTGCTATCTTTCCCTACCCTTTTGTTGGTTTTATGTGAAAATGTCTTGGTTACAAAACTTAATTTTGAAGCTTACCATGACCAAAATACGTAACATCATCACATTGTGCTTTCACGGTAAGAAATTACTGTCTCAAAGATTTCATTTCATAGCCAGAGTTGCTCTTTTCTCTTTCTCACAATTTCCCAAGGAATGTAACTCTTACAGAGCTGGGGAGTTTTTATGATCATCAGTATTTTAATTCTTATTTCACTGTAAGGCTAGACAAAGGTCTGCAGAAATACCCCTCACCTCCTGTGTGACCTTCCCTGTCACTTTAGGAGGGACTGCAGATAATGCTGCTGACAATTGTTCTTGAAATCGCAAGCATTAGTGTGGCAATGCTTTTCAAAGTTTTGCACACAAGCAGGACTTCACTACAGGCCAAGCAGCGTGTGACAAAACATGCCAGGTTTTAGCAAGGCGTTCAAAATACCTTATTCCTCTGTCCAAAATCCCTCCCTTTCTGAACAGAGGGCGAATCGCTGCGGACATGCCGTCCTGCTGTTGGGTTCGTAATCCACACAGGAGGGGTCTTCCTCTCCAAAAACGCTCTAAAGTTGATGAAATCACCCGGTTGCTTTGACGACATAAAACGTACGGAGGCGTTGGTGGTGGTCGGAGAGAGGCATTGAGTCGGGCTGTGGTTTGAAGCTGTGGCCCAGGCTGGTGGGTGGAGGGCACAGGGCACGGGAAAACCTCGCTGTGACACCTCCGAACCCACGGGAAGCCCCAGAGGTGAATTGGATTTCCCCGGGTATCGCCCTGTATCATTTTACGAACTCCCTCGTGTATAAAATGTTTATAAATATTTGTGGATTAAGATACACAGGTCTATTTTTAAGATTTAAGTTAAATAAGTTAATTAATGGCTGGCCTTTTTTTGCCTAAACGTGCAATGAGATATATTATACCTTTAGTCTACGATGGCCTAGGTACTGCTTAGTCTGTGATGAAAACTTTGCTGCTTACCTACTGTTCTCAGAGAAAAAAAAAAAAAAAAAAAAACAACTGTAAAAGACATACAGGTTTGTTGCACACGGACTATTGCAGCAAAGCTTTGCATTTGACCACTGGTAATATGAATGTGTTGTATTGACTTGTTGAAGATAATCATGAAACAACATATTTTAAATGTTACTTGCCTTATAGATTAGAATACAACTATGTGGATATCATTTTTGTAAATAATGTTTTTTATAAATGTCTCTCCTCCATTCTCCCCGTCACCCATTTCACAAAATCTTGAATATGCAATTATTTACCATGCATAATGTTGCGACAAATAAATCCCCACGTCAGAACAAAGTTTATTAATTCTATACATAAGAACTACATTAAATACCCGATCGAGTTGCAATTTAAATGTGATTTTTTTTTTCTTCCCCCCCTCTCCCCCTTCCTTGAAAATAAATGAAAATTGTAAAACACTGCTTTCTCCGAGTGAGCTTTGCATGTGCAGGAGTACCTGGAAGAGCCGGGCAGAGGTACCAGGGGACCTATGGAGGCCGTAGGGACCCACGGGGTCTGGGGAAGCTGGGGGGGACCTATGGGGGCTATAGGGACATGTGGGGGACCTGTGGAGGCCGTAGGGACATATAGGGGCTATAGGCACGTGTGGGGGTTCTAGGGACCCACAGGGGCCATGGGGGAAACCCGTGGGGTCCTTATGGGGGTTACAGGGCCACCCTCAGCAGCCATGAGGACATGAAGGGGACTTGTGTGGGGACCCGCGACGGCTGCGAGGGCGCGTTGGGGACCTGCGGGGGACGGAGGGACACGGGGGCTGCGAGACGCAGGAGGTCGGGGGGGGGGGGGGGGGGGGGGCAGCCCCGCGGGCGGCGGTGGGGAAGGGAAAGGGAGAGGGAGAGGAGGGGCGGCGGGGAATGGCGGCTCGTTACCGGCGACACCCGCTCGGGCTGGGCGGGAAGGCGGCGGCCAGCGCCGACCCGCGGCCGCCGGGAGCGGGGAGCCGGCTCCCGCCCTTCCGCCTCCCCTCAGCGGCGGGGCGGCCATGCGCGGCGGCGCGGCGGGCGGCGGCTCGGGTAGGTCTGAGGGGAACTTCCCAAGCGTCTTCCCCCCGCCTCTCCCGGCTTCCAGCGCCGTGGGGTTTTCCCTCGTAAAACGCGGGTTTAATCTCGGCGTCTGCCCCTCAGGTCCCCCCAGACGCTTCCCGGTGGCGGCGGTGGATGCTATCCTGGAGGATGTGCTGGGGAGCTGCCTGAGGGAGCAGCCGTACGAGCCGGCCCGGTGCAGGGAGATGGCGAAGGACATCGCTGAGGTACCGCCGGCGGCCATTTCGTCCTCGCGCCTCGACAGGGTGTCGGGGAGGTGGCCGTCGGCGCAGGGAGGGCCCCAAATATAAAGTGTGAAAGAAGTGCTGGGGGAGGCCGCCAAGATGCGCCAAGGGCTGCTCGTGAGGTGGCTGCAGGCTGATATGAATTAATAACGAGGTTTGTGCGAGCGGCGGTGGCTCTGGCCAAGCACACGGTTCAGTGAAAACTCCGTGCTGCCATTGCCCTGTCCAGAAATGCCATTAGTAAGTTTTAAGTATAGATCAGAACTTTCCAAAGTAGGCCAGTTATGGTAGCAGCTGAATTCTGCACAGTGACGTGCGTGCAAGCTCCTTGTTGGTTAAATCCAGTCTTGCTGCTGAGCAAAGACTGGCCTGACCCTTTATTCTTTTACCTGATTTGGCCCAGAAAGGCTCACCAGCATTAAAAAAGCACTACCATCTGCTTTTCCTTTCTCTCCTCTAATCAGCAGGTAACTTTGAACACACGCGGGGAAGAATGTGGTATGCACATACAGTGACTCCTTACTTAACATCTGTGCTTGCAGTCCAGCAGGACGGTTGTGCCTGGTTTTAGCAGGTGGAAGCGTTGGTTCTCTTGTGAAAGAATCGCAGTAGCACGCATGCCACCTGTCCGTGGGGCTGGGGGAGTTTGCAGGAGATGTTTCAAATGCTGCGGTTCAAAGATTGTCACCAGGATTGTCGGAAGGGCTTAGTGCTGGCAGTGCTTGCACTCGTCTGTCCCAGAAAACCAAATCCCTGAGCACCCCCTGTAAAGAGAGCTCACAACTTGTGTTATTAAAGCATGGGTAAAAGACCTTATTTTCTCTTGCAGGTTATTAAAGCGTGGGTAAAAGACCTTATTTTCTCTTGCAGGTTATTAAAGCGTGGGTAAAAGACCTTATTTTCTCTTGCAGGTTATTAAAGCTCGGGTAAAAGACCTTATGATCCCGAGGTACAAGATTGTTGTGGTGACACATATTGGGCAGCTGAATGAGCAGAGCATGCAGATCGGAAGCAGGTGCCTGTGGGATCCTGTGAGCGATACGTTTTCGTCGCACGTGTTCAAGAACACATCACTGTTTGCTCTTGCAAATGTCTATGCTGTCTATTTTGAATAAGGAGGTGGTTGAGTTTAACAGCAGAAATGAGCGTTCAGCCTAACTTTTCCTGTTTCTGTTGTTGAAAACGGTTGTGAAGGACCAAGGCAACTTCCACCTGTTTTGAAATGTGATTACCATAAGCCTTTTGGTAGTGAATGTAATTATTTCCCACAGCTTTCTCTGGGAAGTGATTCTCTGTGAAATGCCATTTTGCACCTGATTCTGTCTGCTTTCAGAACTGGGTCTCCCTGTAATTATTTTTTTTCTCCCCGAATTTGCCCTTGCTACGTGATCCCCAAGTAAAAACCACAGGTTTTTTTGGAATGTAAAACAAAAGCGTTTTTTCCTCCTATCAAATGGCGCTCGTGGGCAGCTAGGCACGTGCCGGCTCCGTGCACACGCCGTGTTGCAGATGGGTGCTGTAAGTGCCCCCTGCCCTGCCTGGGGGACAGAGGGATCCCTCCAAACCTTCCTGCCAGGCCCAGTGACACCCCGGGTAGGCTCTGCAGTGGGAGGGCAGAGCTTTGCCTGCCGAGGACTGACCTGCTGGCCCCCAAGAAAAGCCCTGAGTACGGAGAAGGTGGCCCAGAGAAAGCAGTTAGTTCTGCTTGGAGAAGACTAGCTCAGTCCCACAGTGTTTGAAATTGCTTATTTTATTACGTTTTATGTGTAAAGCAGAAACTAGAACAGTAGTTAGATGGGAAGAAATAGTTGTACTCCTGACTAAAAGTTTAAACTGCTTTGTGGAGTCCAGACAACCCAACGTAAACTGTCATTGCAGCTGTTTGCTGGTTTGCACTACAGCATTTAACATTCAGCCTTTACTCCCTAGTGTGCTACAATTAAAGAATACAGCTGGAATAGGTGTGGTCATGATTACTTTAATACACAAAGGCTGTGACACTGAACCTCATCAGCACCTGCTGCATTTTAGCAGAGGGAACTGATCTCCCTCTCAGTGCAGCCGATGCTGCAGCAGGATGTGGTGAGCAGCTTGGCTACTTCGCGCTTTTTTAGCATAGACATTTTCCCGGTGCGTTGCTGGTCTCGCTCCATCTCGGGCTTGATGTTGTGGATTTCTTCGCTGTCACTCTCCAGCCTCTGGTCTGTGTATGGCAAGGAGTCGGCATAACCGTTGTTCTCTTGTGAGAAGGGCAGGGGATTTTCTGTCACATAAAAATCGGAAGCTAAAAATTAGAAGTCATGGAATCACGAGTAGTTTATAATTGTCTTTACTAGAAAGACAGACCAGCCTACAGCCAGGGAGCTGAAAGTATCCTCCACGTCTCTGATGTGAACAACCAAGATATACCAGATCACTGACTTCTCACCAGGGCAGTATTAAAATAGATATGTGAGGTACACATTCAGTGATTAACGTGTTAAACCACCTAGTAATTTATGGATTTCTTTTGGAGAGTGTTCTTTGTAGGAATAGTTGCCTTATCAGTCTTACACTGATATATTTGCTTTGAAGGGTAAACCCATGATTTGATGTGCCAGCAGCACTTGACCAGCACGTTAACCTGGAACTGCTTGTGGGTTTCCTGAAATGCAGATATTATGTTAAGGCATCAGATACCCCACAGTTTCAAAGTCCCTGGATATTCCCACTTAAATTACACTTCTGGTTCACGCATGTTTTAAGTACTGCAGTACAATCGAGCACTGCCTTGTGGAGTTTCTAAAGGTACCATAGTTCTCCTGCTTAGTTTAGCAGTGGGGGGTTCTTTAACAGACTCTCAGGTGGGGTGTTCCAGGTGGCATCACTTCTTATGTTTGTTTAAAGCTGCTGCTACAATAGAATTCTGAAAACAGGCAAATGTTACTGCATGGAGAGTGTAGAAAGCCTCTGTTCCCGTCTTCCTTATTTTCTTCTTTCTAGTTATTTTAAGCTATCAGAATACAAATTTCTAGCAGTGCATGTAATGGCTGAATTTTCTGACTCTGTCTAAAAATAGAAATAGGTACACCACCACATGAAGATACTTAAATTGCAGAGTGTATATTCAACAAACTTTAATAATCATATCCTTAAGTTGTAATAAAGTTTCTGGCTTCCAGTGGGGAAAGTGGTGTGCCATGAAGCTCAGCGTTAAAAAACTCGCACTGACTGCTGCAAGACCTGTCTCTGGTACTTAAAAGTGTCACGGCATGGTGATTTTCAGCGGCAGCCTCAGGCTTCACTCCTGGTTCCTGGCTCAACTTGGAAAACCTCGATCTAAACGCTTTTTATTCAGCGAAACAGCACGCTAAGCTCAGCCAAGCAAGCCAGGAGGGAACAAAAGCTGCGAATCGGAGCGAAGCCCGTGCCGAAGGCGCGCGTGTTTGGGGGAGCGGCAGGAGCCGGGGTGCAGCTCTGCCCTGGGGTACAGCCCGCGGGCGAGCGGCCCCTTCCTGATCCCCTCGGAGCCCGGCGCACCTCGCGGTGGGCGATGAGCCCCTAACGCTTTAATTAGTACTTACCAAACAGGTAGCGACCATCAGTCGAGTGCCTCTTCCACCGGGAGCCGCCGCAGGTGAAGACGACGGCTCTGATGAAGTCTCTCCCGCAGAGCTTCACGGCGTTGCCTTCGCCTCTCGCCGCCCGGGCCGCGGCCAGGCCAGCGAGCAAGGCCAGCGCCAGCACTGCACCCCTCATTCTGTGGGCACCCCGCTTCCAGGCCGGCTGTCGGCAGGGCAGGAGGCGCTGCGGGGCCGAGGTGGGCAGCCCGGCTGGAACCCTCTCCTTTATACCGCCCGCCCGTCCGCTCCAGTGGGTAACAGCTCGTTCTGGGGATGACTTAATGTTTGCTAAAACCAAGTGAATCGCTTGTTTCCGGTAACGTTTTAAGTGCTTTGGGACTTGTGCTGGGATTTCGGTCAGGTGTTAAAGACTCCGTAGGACTTTGCTATAGGAACACCTGTAGTACAACATGTTTATAGAGTACAAGCTTAGATCAATACTGTTAATGTGTATGTTCTGCAAAAGTGAAAGGGTGTTTATTACGTGGTTTGTAGATAATGGGGTTTGTCTCTGTGCGCTTCCCACACAGCTGTGCTACCGCCGCCTGGGGCCCGGCCGTGCCCGTCGCCACAGTTGAAGCAACGTTGGGTCTTTTTCCTGGTAGCGATCCCAAACTAAAAGAGAATTCACTTCCAGCGCCGTTGGCTTTCGCGTAGCTCTTCGTTACCCCTGCCACCTTCTCTGGCCAAGCATCCCCTTGTCAAGCCGGCAACTGCGGGCGCCTCAGAGGAACTTGCTGGTGCTGGGCAGTCACCCAGGAGAAAATCGGGTACGGAGGGGGTTTTGGCGGCAAACGTTGGCATCCGAGCCTTCAAAGGCGCCGCTGCGGTTCCCGGCGTGCCGAGCGACGGGGAGGGTTTGAGCGCAGTGAACTCGCTGCGGCAAACTGCGGAGCAGCGTGGTTGCCCGAGAGCTTGCGTCTGGGGGTGTTCGCCTCGCAGCTCCTCGGGTGCCGTGGAGCTGCAGCTGCATGCTGAGGCCGGCGGACGTGGCCCTTGTCCGAAAAGGTGTAGAAAAAAACAGGGGGAGAGGCCCTAACCAAGGCACAGAATAGCTACAGGTCAGCGTCCTGGCCGCCCTTGTCCTTTCGATGCGCTCTGAAAGACGGGAGTGGGCTCACCAAAGCAGCGTGGAGCGGTGTTACTCCGCTCTGCGGCCAGAGGGTTGGTAGATCGGTGGGGAGAGCAGTCCCTTCCTATTGCTTCGGGTAGTTGTGGCTGCAGTTGCTGTAGGCTATGAAAAATTTTTGTCATAAAATACCTTAAGGAGAAAATTTCACAATTACAAGGTCAGAAATTCCATGTTTAAAAACAAAATACATGAGGAACTTCGGAGATCTTTAGCACTTCCTAGCACAAGTGTTTTCCAGCACCATAATGTTACAGTTAATTAGTTTACACGATGTGCAGGGTGAATTACAGTGTGTTACAGCCTTGACAGAAAGCTCGGGTTTTTTTACCAGTAGCATCAGTGAGTAAACAGTCATAACCACCGATGGAAAATATGTGGTGTATTTTGTTCAGATTTGTAATAATGGTTAACGCATGATTCACCTTAATGGGTGTCTTTTTTTGAAATGCACAAAGATTCATTTTATGTCAAGGATAAGCTTGCATGTTCACTGTAAAATGTGCCAAGCACAGAAGGAAGTGAGTGTTAATGCATCACAAATGATCTTTAACTTCAGTGATGTGTTTAAACGTTGGACGTTTATTGTCAGGCTAATGAAAGTGTCTGAACATTCTGTATCTATAAAACAGACGTCTTGCTACATCGTGCTTTCAGGAGCAGGCAGCTATTGCCTCCGTCGGAGCGCTTTACTGCCGAGCTTTTGTATCGTATGATTTTGTATATTTTGTGGGTTTTGCACTGCTCAGGCGGTAGGCCTGCAGCCTGGATCATTAGTCTTAATTACTCATCTGTGGAGACGCTCCATCTCTTCGGTGAGCAGTCAGTCCCTGAAAATCCTCAAACACCCTGCGGTCCGACTGGTGGCTCACTGGGTGCTTTTTGCCGTTTCTTCTGATCTGGGCCCCAAAAAGCTGGTCTAGACAGCCGAGCGCTGCCGGCTTCCAACCAGCTGTGCCGGCCCCAGCGAGTGTCCCCAGCAGCTCCCGGCTCTCCAGCTGCCAGCACTGGGCTAAGGGGAGGTGGTGAGACCCCCAAAAACACAAATCCAGCCTCCAGAGCTGCAAAAGTCAGTCCCCGCTCCAGGACCACCCTGTTAGCTCGTGTGAGGAGCTTTCAGAAAAGCCTCAGGTTGGAAGAGGGTGAATTTAAACTGCAGTTTTACATTATCCTGATTTGTCAGGGGTTGAAAAAGCGGGTCGCTGCTTTAGCGTGGTGTGGGATGATCCGCAGGAGCCCCTGATGCCCCTGGAAGCTCGGCTGTCGCCCGCAGCAGCGGTTGGTGGGGTGACAGACCAGGATGGCTCTGATGAGAAGTGGGTTCATTTACTGCACGATTCCGCAGGGAAGATACAGACTGCAGCGCGTAAGGACGTCGGCTGTGCTATGGAGTGGCCCATACAGGGGGAGATTTTTGGCATTTTTGCTTTTTGAGTAACCCAAGGAGAAAAGACTTTGGAGGAAAAAATCAGAGGAGGGAAAAATCCGAGGAGAAAAAAAACCCAAGGAGAAAAGAATACGGAGACATTTCTGTATTACAGGGAAGGTCATCTGTGTATTACTAGTTTGTCTAATGAGGGGGGCTTCCAGGGGGAAATTTAGAGCATTTGAAAGAAGTTTCTAACCAGCATGGTTTCAAGGAGAAATTTTAATGATTGGAAAAGAATAAATGGTTGATGTTAAGACTACGCCAAGTATTTCTTGCTGTTTGTCAACTGAGAAGGGGTATCGTTTAGCTACTGTTAAACAGCTACAGCAGGACCAATTACGTCACATAGGGTATCAACCTGTAAAACAAGTGGAAAAAAAGCTGTAGGACAGCGTAACTGCAGTATAAGACGTGCAGTGATCCAAAATCCCTGTGTGTGAGCTGAGGACAGAACGGCCTGTGCAACGAGCAGCCAGAAAGCAGGCGGCGGCGGTTTGGATCATGTCAGAGTCTTCCTGGGAACTCTGTAATACTGTGCTTCCCTCTGACAGCGCCCCTTGAAAACAGCACTTTTGGGCAGGCCTGTTTGGCTTGCGCTGACAGCATCGTACTTGGCAGCATGCACACCTATCTCTTGTTTACAAAGGAAATTAATTTTCGTGATGATAAACGTATGGTAGCGGTACTTAGATGCGATTGCCCGTGAAATCATTATCTCCCTTAGCCTTAGCTGTAGTACAGCCCCTGTCGTGCTAAGCCTTGTACATTCCTAAGCCTAGGAAGAGCTTGCTGTTACAGAAAAGGGAGGGGAGATGGGTGATGCTGGAAATTGGGGCTCCCTCTGCCTCATGAGGCTCAGTGACTCAGTGACCACTTATGCCACATGCCCAAAGTCTGTGAAATTAAGCACTGGTATTTTTAGTCCTGTTCTGGTGACACATCCAGAAAATTTTCCCTCTACTCTTGTTAGCAGAAGAAATTGTCTCCTTAGAGGACTTGGGCTGCTTTGTGGTGATTTGTAGGAAAAAATCCCACTAGTTTTATTTTCTGAGTTTAACACCAACAGCCTCACTTTTAGTTTTTAAGGGAAATCTCTTTTTGCTCTGTGGTTTACAGCCCTTGGCAAACAAAGCTGGTAATTACCAGAATTTCTAAATGTAACGCTGACAATTGTGAATTATTTAATGCTTAATACCCTGAGAATGAAGGTTAGATTAACATCAGCAGTTTCATTCTTTCCAGCTGTAGTGTTTCACACCACGTCATTTAGAAGGGATTTTAAGAAGTACCAGTCCCGCTTTGCAGATTGGGAAGCCAAGACCAGTAAAGCCCAGGCTGCTTGTCCAGAGCTGGAAGGACAAAGGGAGCGGGGCAGTTCAGGGCAGATAGAGCCTGGAGGTAGCCAGGGTGGCTTCAGGATTTTGTACCATGGACCAGCAAGGAGGGCCCGGCGGGGATCTGGTATAAATTAGCACTGATTTATGCAAAGGCGCCCGGAAGGGATGCGTGGTGGACACCAGTCAGGTCGTCCCCTGCTGCTGACAGGGAAGCCACGCCGCCGTACGACTGGAAAGGAACCTGGTTGTAAGGCAAGTCAAATTCTCTCCTGTCAGCTGGGATGGGAAAACCCTCCCTGGGATGAGCAGCGGCTTCAGAAGGGGCGAAGGCACTCGGGAGCCGAGGGCTTAGGGGTTTGCTGCCGCCCCCGAGGCGAGGCTATCTCGGTGGTGGCCAGGAGAGGGCACGTCCTGCCCAAGGCGTCAGCTGGCGCGGGCGTTCTGCCACCCGCCTCCCCTGCCGACGGAACCACCACCTTCCTGCCCTTGCCCCAGTGTCCCACCCAAACCCAGCTGTGCCGAACCTCTGCGTTTGCGATCGAGTGAAACCTGAAGCTCGACCCCGACTTGCCTGCTCCTGCAGTTTCTAGTGGTATGGCACGCAGGAGAGCAGGGACCGCCTCGGGTTTTAAGCGGGTGATGGAATTGTATCGGATTCCACTCATTTCTCAGTATTTATTACCAGAAACCCCTTTCTGAGGGATGAGGCACCAGCCGAGCGCGCCGGTCTCGGAGACCACCACCTTCCCCGAGCGAATCGTACCTGAGGGCTGCTGGGAGCAGCCAGGTTCCGCAGCTCGAACACTCCGACTTCCCCGTTGCTGTCCCCGGCCAGGAGGCAGTCGGTGCTCTCGGCAAAGAGCACGGATGTGAATTTTGCTCCTGGGTTGGCCAAGCGAGAGATGACGGGGCTCAAGCTGCAACCCAGCGGAGGCCAGAATTGAGAGGTAACAATGCATTTGCCTGCGCCTACCGTCGTGTGAAGTCTAGCAGTAAAGCAGGCCTGATAAATGTTGAATGTTTTACTTTTTATGTTCTAGATTAACTCAAACACTAAGAAGCGAGACGGCATTTTCTTTGCCCTCTTCCAGAACAAAAGTCCCAGCTGCTATTAACTAGGATATCCCGGTTGCCTAAAATCTGTCCTATTGCCTAATGTGTGTGTGGGGGGGTGGCTAATATTTTCATTATATGAATAATTTTCTTTTTGCCACCGCAAGATTTGGTGGGCCTCCTACTCCACCGCAGGCTTCGTGCTGGCATTAATATGAAATAGTGCAGACCAGAAGAACAAGGCCACGGATGAACTAAGCTGCGCATGAGCTGTGCACCTACTTTACAGTAGTGGGAAAACATGAGAGGTAGCCGAACTTCTGACCATCTCATCTTTATAAAAGGTCTAAAGTGGCTCAGTTTTGTTATTTTCCCTTTTAACTACGGCAGTGGTAGAATCTATGATTTCTGCAGAAAAAAAAACAGTTCCATGAGGCATCCAGCTCCTTCCCTTATAATTACAGTTCTCTGGTAACTACCACCTGCTTTTACAAAATGAATATTTCAAAATGCAACACTTTCAATAACTCGGCAAGCAAATGGCATGGAGCTGTCACGAGCTGATAACAACACTGATCAGGCAATAACGTGTAGCCTTTGTGCCATTAAGTTTCAGAATCTTCTTTGCGAAAAGGAATTACTTACATGCTGACACCAAGGTCCCAAATTTCTACGCGGGTTTCATTCGCTGCTGCGAACACGAAGGCTGATTTTGGAGACCACATAATGTCATGAACAAAACAAGGGATGGAAGTGAAAGTCAGCATGGGCGTCTGTGAATCCTGGTGCCATAAAATAATGCTCCAGTCTGCAGAGCAGCTTAGGAACATGTCAGTGCTGAAGGGATTCCAAGCGACTTTGTACACAGGACCCTGGGTGTTTGGGAAGAAACAAGAACTTTGTGTTAGTCCAGAGCTACGGCCTTACAGGATGGTTTTTCATAGTGACCTTTTATGGAAATCCCTGACTGTCCTCTGACCTTAATAGCAAAACCAGTGTTGTGTTCCGTGTACCCCTAGGAAATTAGGATGCAGCAGATGTGGTAAGACAGGAGAAATCTTGTGAGCAAAAAGCACTCATCTGATTCTGTCCCTTCACCAGTTGTTAGGAGAAGCTGATGCCGAGAGGGCAGCTCCTTGGATGAAGCAGAAACTCTCAAAAAATAAGTGCTGTTAAAGTTCTGCCATCTTTCTCTCAGAGGTAAGACTATTTAACCGTGGTTTGCAGGACAATCAGATTTCTGATTGTTTTCTTAAAATAAAGCCAGAGCTAAAGCTTTAAAACAGTTCATAGAACAAGTTTTAATAAATTACTTTGAAAAAAATCCTTATAGTGTAGAAACTAATCCTGTAGGACTGGGATGCTTTATGCTATGGGAATTCATTCCCAATATAAAAAAAGAAGTTTACGTTTCTTCTGTTGCAGATGTTTTGCGTAGTAAATATAAGCAAAGAAACTATTACATTTGTGAACTTAATTGAACAGCTTCTGCTTTTTCTACGTATCACTCACCTTATGGCCTCTGTATGTCTCTAGAAACTGCTCATTGCATGAACAAGAACACTTGTGGATATGACCCTCTTCTGTTCCAGCAAGATAGAAATTCGTGTCCTGAAAGAAAGGTAAAAGTAGCTTTTGTTGGATTAACCCATTTATTGTTCATCCAGAAATCTACAAAGGACTGGCAAGGCATGGCAGTGACAGTCCTCTGAAGAACTACAGTGGAGTTGCCAGGATGCTGTGTGTTGCCTGCACGCATGCTGCGGAGGGTACCAGAATCTATCAGATTTGCTATGTGTGTTCTCCAGCTCTGCAGAACATAGGCTGGGATTTCTGACTCCTGAAAACCTTGGACTTTTTGCGATTCACACGGGCAAACGCATGAATTCTTCAAATGCTTTGTGGACAAAATATTCAGCTGGATAAAGAGGAGAAGCACGGCCATCTAAGTCTGAGACTCGGGAGATGCTGAACAGTCAAAATTCTCACCAATTTGACCGACAGACAGAGGAAAGCTGCCCTAGGATCCGGCCCAAAGCAAATGTGAGTAGCATGGCTAAAATGATAGAGGAGTTCACACACAGGGATTACTTGCTCGGTTTACCATATCATGCATTTTGTTATTAGCTATGAAGCAGTTTGGTTCAGAAGCAAATATGCTTTAAATACCAGTGCCAAGTGCCAGGCTAGTGCCTATTAAAGTAGCTCCAGCTGAGGATCCCACCCCTGTTGCACACTTTTCCTGGATAATACTTTAGCAAGGATGGCCTTTCGAAGCCTACCTTCGGGTGGAAGTCAAAGCACATTCCAGCTGCCTGTTGCAATATCAGAGCTTCACTTTTCCTTTCTTTCTCACCTGGTAATTTTTTCTTCTTACTTTCTGTTCGCTTTATTTTCATCAGATCTGTGCAAATAGCAAAAGTTTTTGTCAAACGGGTATGTGACGGCGCTATGAATAACTCGCGCTTCTTTGGAACGCTCAACAGCTCTTCAATGTTTTGTGCGTGATAACTGGCATAAAGAATGTCACCTGAAATAAAGTGAAGCAATTGCAATTTCAGCTATTATCCTTCTGCAGAAAAGCTGCAGGGGAGAATGCTTACCAGTGCAATCTAGTCTTTTCTGTATAAGCCACTCGGTTATCCGGCCATCTGCTGAGATACACATTAACCTCTCTTTTTTGCCATCTCCTGTTGCATCTCTGTCCTGTTCCACCCACCTCAGTTGCCATACTGGGCCCGTATGTTTATTTGAGGATTCACTGGGACAGAAGATGCACATGATAAATCATACATGAAGAAAGACAACATGTTTGAAAAATAACTAACCTTCCACTTTGTAATGAATGTCAAGTCTTATGACAGAAATGTTTAGCTTCTTTTTTTCTAAAAAGTCGAAATCTGAACATTGGCTGTTTTCTCCAGGAAAATTTTTGTTTTAGCAAACATGTTTGCTATTTAGTTTCCGGGCACTGCTTATGTGCTGACACACCTTTCATTGATACCTGAATCATGAAATCAATCTGCACCTTGTAGGAGAGCGCCCTAGACCCGGGGAGCTGCCCTTAGGGCAAATATCTCCCTGGTTACCCCCTCACTCTCATTTTCCTCTTAATTCATGCTTCTCTCTCACCTATTCTGATGTTCTCTCCACCTTTGGCAAGCGGACTTGGTGAGAAAACACCAAAAGCTATCACTGGTCTCCCATAAGGGTTTATTATCTGGGGAAGGATTGTCCTAGTTAGTTAGTTCACGGAGTATAAAATGATACCTGGTGGTAACTTGATGCATTTTCTTAAAAAGTCACGGCATTGCACTTATTTCACCCTTCCAACGTGGGGAACTTGCTTTGCGTGCACAGCAACAGCGCAGAGAGTTTCATACCCCAAATATGGACCGGTGGTGTTAAAGTATTGTAAGGACTTATCATCAGAAATAAGACTAGAGAATGATGGCAGCGCAGAGGGAGAGTGGCAGCGTCTGAGGATTTGGCTGTATCAGTGTGAACAGGCGGATGGGAAAAGTCTGGCTGGCCCACGCTGGCCCTTCCAGGCATCTTATGCACCATCACAAATTATTGCATCTGCAGTTTAGCTCCAGAAGCTTCTAGTGTTTGAGAGTATTGTTTATGTTTGAGTGTTACGATTCCCTCAGCTTCTCAGTTGTGGGTATTTTTTAATTTGTGATTTGCCGAGACGTGACCAAGGTGGGAGGAGACAGGGAATCGTAGCCTTACCTGCTGTCCAAAAGTGCGGCGGCGTTACAACTCCGTACGTTATAGATTGCGACAGAACCATCGTACATTCCAACTGCTAGATGATTTGGGCTTGCTGCAGAAAAATCCAAAGCTGTGACACCATGCTCGCACTGGAAAATACGCTCCGGCCACTGACCAGTAGAAAAACACAAAAATGGTTTAAGCTAGTTTCTTACTTTACCTCAGTCTTCTCAACGCTGGGTACTAAATTGCCAGGCTCTGCTGGAAAATTCAAGTGCTGATGACCGTAGTCACTTCTTCTAGACAGAAATTAGGTACTGCATTCTAAGTGGTTCAGTTTATTTCTTGCTGCAACGGATAAAATTAGGAGAAAATAAAGACTATGCTGAAATACAACACTGTAAAATAGGTTAGATGGGCCTACTCCAAACCAAATACCTAAAAATGAGGTTCCCTAAGATTGAGCTATGTGAGCACAGTGTGAGGTTTTTTCTTGATTTTTTTCTTTTTAAAACAAACTTGACATTTTGGAAAATTTCTCCAGTTGTTTTCTACCTTGTGATACGAAAGTTAAGTACCTTTCCAATTACAGAAACTTAGCTGAAGAGAAAATGCAATCTAACGTACGTCAGGTCATTTGTAAACCGTCGGTTCCGTGTAACTTCTCCATGTAACCAAAGAACTGATTCAGCTTTGTTATAAAATGAAATCCTGAAAGCCACTGCACTGTGCTCTTGAAATGGGAAGCAGCAGAGTGTAAGTTTGCGAAGAACTGCATGTCAGTGTGCGTGCCAGGTCTGATTTCTTGATGTTAGGGACTTGAGGACTACGGTGACATCAGGGAATCGCAAGAGTACTGAGATTGTTGTTGACGTGATAAATATTCATCAAAGATTTGACTCTGCGTGATTTAAATTAGTCTAATACACAGTTCAGGCCAAGTGAGATTTGTAGAACAAACCAAACCAAAGTTGTGGAAGTTGATGGCAGTCATGGTTTTTACTGTGTCACTTTGTAACCAACATTTCCAAGATTATTTTTTTTTTTAAATGGCTAGTTTAAAAAGGATCACTTTTCAGGTGGATATGTAAACGTTATATCCATGAAATCTACTGTCTTTTTGACAGTATTATGAGAAGTTAGGATAATTCTATTATATATTTTTAAATTATATACTTTAAAATATTTGTATAAAGTATATAATTTTTTAAAAAGGCTGAAGGAAAAATCCTTCAGCCTAGCAGAATTTCATGGTACAACAGAAAATGGATTGGAAAGGATAATCCTGAAATTTAAAATACAGATGTTCTCTGTAATGAGAGTTTGGAAGTATTGAACAAACGGTCTATAGATTTTGAAAAACAAAAAGTAAATGCATTTATCTTCTCATCTGCTGTGCTCAAGACTTTTCCAGTCTAAAAAATAATTTCTACACACCTAGGTCTACCCACAGTAACAACGAAACAGATGTAGAGCCTTGGGTAGGTCGTCATAGGGATTGGAAACGGGCTGCAGAGATCTGCACTGCTAAGTTGCTTAGCAGAGCGTGGTACTACCTGAGAGTTACAACCATCTGTTGGTTGTTTGGTGGCCTGTGTGCAGTGAGTTCAGTTCCTGTGAACAGATGTCCACGTTACCAAACCACCAAAACCGCCAGCGCCTCTGCTGGAAGCATCAGCTGAGAGGATGGACAGGCACAGAAACTAAACCGCTTTTTGGGTCAGGATTTAAGCAATTGCTTGGCACTGCAGTTGGAATCAGTTTTCCAGAAATGTGTGGTTTGGGCTAGCAAATTCAGCTGGCTAGGTCTTGCTTTTTGAAACAGGAAGAGGGAAATAAATAAAGCAAAAATATTATAGCAGAAAAATGCACTGAAGAAAAAGAGAGAAAACAAACTGGCCGCTCGTTACCATGGGGTTCTTCAATGACCAACAGCAAGCCAAGCCTTTCTTCTGTCCTTTAAAATCAAATGCTCCGTAGCCAACAGCTAAAAGGTCCTAAAAGCACAGATTAACAGATAAATCTCAGTTTAATGTGAAGTTCAGTTATATATTTTTAAAAGGCAACTTTCTGCTGTGACTCTCTGTGTAAAGTCTGGAAGAGTAATGCTCACATCATATGCAAGTAGATGAACACACAAGAACAGAATTTCAGAATTTCTAGAATACTGGAAACTGGGTCAACTAAAAGTGCATTCATAGTTGCTATCAGTTGTGTTTGGAATCCCCCCTCCCGGGCCATCATAAAAATACGTCCCTTTCCAGAGATGAACATACATTGTTCTATAGCCATATTTAAACGTGCAGTATTTAATGCATTAGGGAGTAATACTTCTACTTTTCTCTCTCAACATTAGCAGTAAAAGGAGGTTCAGTGACCACACCAAACTCCTAGCTTTTAATTCTCTACAGTGGGGTCCAACAAATTCTGTTCGTTGCTTTACATAAGCTGAAGTAAGAAACAGCAGCAAGACTTTAGTCTTCAACTCCATTAATGTTTTTTCCTACACATAAGTAGGTTGTGATACTAACACTTTAAAAGTAGGCATTTGCTTGCCCTATATTTCTAAGACTGAAGTCTGTAAATGTGTCCAACTTCTTAATATCTGGTGTACTAACAGTATGAAATGGTCTTTATTTTCTCCCTTTTTTTTTCCGTTGGGGCAATCTTACTGGTTTTATGTTTCTCATCCTCACCTGCTTTTTACCGTCCTTCCATTCATTGTTTTTGTTGTGGCCATAAGAGAGCTCTGTTGGAAAAACTGAGCCTCACATTACTCTGAAAGCGGAGATGTCTGAGTCATTCTGACCTCCACCAAACCTGAATTAAATAAAATTGGGCCAGCTGCTCAGAAACTTGTGCCCGTTATTACACATCTTATTCTCCAATTTTGATGAATGATGCTTTTTTTGGGAGATGACTGTTAGAAACAAACGTGGTATCTAAACTATCATGAATAAACTCCACCAATGGTGATGAAGTTCAGTAGTAGGGGTTTACATTTCAACTTCCAATTCCGTAACAGGCCACGTCTGTTATCTTAACATTGTTGTTCAGGTGACCACCCATGGTAAGCTGGACCAAATAAATTCTGGATGAATTCAAGCTGTTGTGATACATTTGTAGGAAAAGCCTAGCACAGCTGTCCAACCTGTAGAATAATGTAGCAATACTGTTGTATGGAAGGACAAATTACAGAGAGTGAGATGCAAAGACAACCTGCCCGACTGTAGGGCTGGAGCCACCTCGCTGAGATCCCTCCTAACAAAGTACATCAAAATCAGGAGTTTGTTTGCACCAACAATTGCTTATACCATTTTGTAAACAGCTTAGAAGCAGTGGTTTGTTGACTCACCGGGTTTACTTTGCTCCAAGCCATACTGCTCACACTGTGACCGTTAGTTAAATCACACATATATGACCACAGCCGTTCCAACCTGGGAGGTACAATTTCTTCTCGGGTTTTATTTAGATCTAACAGGACTGATGGGGCAATGAATGCTTCTTTCTGCTCTTCCTTAGCCGCCTTCTCCTCATCACGCTCTCCCTGTTGAGCTTCTTTTGTGGCTGCCACTGTACCACTAGTGTCTGCTGTAACGTCAGGATCTAAAATGTACAAATAAGGTAGAGTCTGAGTAGTAACATTTCACTTTTCTGCTGACGCGAATGACTGGAGGTAGAGAAATTTGCCATTTCAGCAAGTATTTTGCAGCAAAAAAAAATGAAGATTTGAGGAATGAAGACATCCAAACTTGTGGCTAGAATGTTGATAGGAACACAGAAGCTGGCTGGATCAGGCTGTAGTGTTCCAGTTATGCTCCAGGCGTTTAATGAGTGGCTTTAGCTACCCAGCAACAAGTTATGAATTTATGTCCACCCCATCAGGAATGTTTCTAATCTCTTGTATTTAAAAATTTGTTTAAGCAGGGATTTTTTCAGGTTAGAGGCCAAATTTTAAAGAGCCACACTTAGGCATTGATGCTGTAACACCGTAGCTAAGTGACACGATGCTGTAATAAGTTGCTCTCTACTTGGGAAAATTAAGTGTACAGGATATTTTTAGATTGCATTTGCTAAGTATTTTTTTGTTTACTCACACCCTTATTTTATGTAATGTGCAAAGCATAAATTGATCTCAGATCACAGTTAACAAAATAACAACGTAATTGTCAGAACAAAAGTCCTCCTGGCCAGTACTGTGCTCCAGCTGTAGCTAGTTCCTGAAGGGTGACAGCACAGAACAGGTTCATTGCCTGAAAAACTGAAACTCTCTATGACAAGAGGAGGTACAATACAATAAAAGGAGTGTGAATCTACCTTTTTTTGTTTTTTTAATCCTTGTGTTAACTTGGAATTCTTGTAAAAGGTAAAATATTACTTAGCACTTGGGTCCAGGTAATGCCTCTGACAGTCTGCAATGGATGTACTTCCTGTTAGACACTGAACATCTACCAGGCCACAACTTCTGTTTACCATCAGTCTCCTCATAAATTAAAAAAAAAAAACAAAACTGCAAAAAACATTCCAATGCAAAAAAAAAAAAATGGTTGGAGAAGTAGCAGAATTAATCTGTATCTATCTTAACTGTCAGGAAACAAGTTTGACTAATATTTTGAGCCTCAGGTTGTGGTGGTAAGGCGAGATGAGCTAGCTCAAAACTCATTTATTCAATTCTTCCACCAAATACGGTAGGGATGGCTGTTCAAACGAGCGTAAAACTGCAAAGTTCATGGGGACATCTCATAAACTCTCTTCTCCTTTGTCTATTTCTTAAATGACTTGTCATCTGTAAAGACATTCAGTGAGGGACGTAACTCCATGGCTTTCAATAGCATGCAAAGCCTTGTGCCGAAAACAGGGTAGTCAGTAAGAAACAAACCTATAAGGACAGGAAGCTGCCGATAAACTGCAAGTTTGGGTTGAAAAATATTCTCCATTAGAATCCTCTCCATGAAAAATAAATCCTGCTGAAAGTTTTCTGATGTTAATATAGCTTCTGAATGGCATTTCTCCTCTCCGTAGATTCTGGCAAGACCAGCGCTTCCCGAGATAATTTTAGAAGTTGTGCTGCCTGACAAGAAATAATATGGGAAAAAAACAATTTTAACATGATAATACTTCGCGCATAAAACTCAAGGTGGTAAGTTGTCTCCTCCTCCTCCACCTGCAAAAATCATAGAAGACTTCATCATCATCAAAAAATACTTCCACTATTAATTTTTTCTTGCTTTAATTTTGTTTTCTCTTATTGCTCAAATACTCAATATGATGAGATAGTTCTGGAATTTTTCACAATTGGTGTTTTTGACTACTGTCCGAAGTAAGTTAGTACCGGCAAAAGTTATCGCTGATTATTTACCTTTATTTAGTATCATTTATGACAGCATTGTACAGAAAAAGTATCAGTGAAGCCCTGTCCAAGATTCTTTAGCAAACTCTCTTTCAAGTGCCAGGCAGGCAGACCAAGCCCTTTATACATGTAGTTTTCACCATACAACAGAGTGATATACATGGTTCAGAAGGATGAAAACGCGGCCAAAATGTAAACCTGGAAAAATGTTACCTCTGCCAGAAGAGACAGACATAGCCTGATTGTGCTCTTTAGTTGTATGAGCTTTGCTGCTTTTCCCCGTTGTGACTCTGCTACCTCCTGCTTTTGATGTAGGTTCTATTTCCGACACATTAAATGAATCGTACACCTCCCAGGAAGTGACCGTCATCCCTAGAAATGAATTACACCGTATTATCCAAGTCTCTTGTCGCGGTACGTTATTATCAAGGACTGCATACAGCTGAGCAAAGGTTTACTCCTTGTACTACGGTCCCAACTGTTTGGCAGAGAGGCTCTGAAACCAACCCGGGGTCGGCCAAGGCTGTAGCCACAGCCGTGGTGCGAGGGCAGCGGCTGTATCGGGGTCGGGGTGTGCGGCTTCCCTTGGGCAGGGCCAGCTCCCGGTGACACAAGGCTCCGCGACCCTGCCTGTCCCCGCTCAGCTTTTCAAACACAGCTTGGAATGAGCCACGCTCAAGGCACACAGGAAAGGGGAAGGTAGGTTTTCAAATCAGATTCATGTCTGGTTTACTACTTTTTTTTTTTTTTTTTTTCACTCCTTTTACATGCACTAACAAACACAATGGAAAAACATTCGGAACAGCACTCCCCATAGTTTCCTTTGGCCTCCCCCCCCCCCAAAAATGTCCATATTGAGGCAAAGCTCAGCACACACTTCTAAAACCTAGATATTCCTCTGTAATTTTTTTTAGAGCACTGAGGTTGAACATTTTGTAAAATTGCATCTAGCTTGTGAGACTGACAAGATTTTCAGCTTTCCTCAAGATTTTAAATCTCATAACAGAGGTTCTCCTCGTTGTGCTATGGCAACTAGAAATAGAAACCAGCGTCACTGAAAAATTAAGGGGGAAAAAAGGGAACCGTGTCCTTTCGTATTTCAAGAGTGTAGTTGAGTATTAAGTGAAGTTCTGCCTCCTAAGAAGCACGCTTTGCTTGCAGAGTGCTGAGGCAGGCAGGACACTGCAGTTCTCAGCTGGTGTAATTCCTATTTTATTGCAACGGCTACAGAGCACCAGTTGTGATGTTCAGGTTTTAAGAGGGCCAGAAAAGGCCACCGCAAATCACACTAGCCTGTCTGAACCTGGCGCTCTGGGAGTGAGAGTTGAGGAAACATCTTCTCCTGCTTAGAGATGGAAGGCAGAAATAAATCCCTTTCCTCAGTACCTGACCTGTGTGTGGGGCATCTTCTGAGGTCCCATAGCTGTATGTTAGAATTTCCCCAAATAAATACTTAATAAGTAAACTAAATGTAATAATAAACCCAGCTGCCAAGGGTACAGTGTAATAAGTGGGAGCCTGTTCTTAGTAAATACCCTTTCCTAGATGGTACTCAGAAAGTTTACCTTTATCTTCCATGATGATTTTGTCACATTGCACTTCCTTGTTCTTTGTGGCTCCATTAATGGTTTGCATCATTTTTTCTACAAAGCGATCATTACCAGGTCTGTTTTTGCAAATGTCAACATAAATCCTATTCCGTTCCCTTGGGGGGAAAAAAAAAAAAAAGTGTATATTGATTTTCTGAAAATTCAACTTCCCAGTGTATTTAACCACAAGTTGAACAGGAGAGGATACTCCATGTCATAAATTTACTGCTTGGGCTTTTTTGGATTGCTAGATTTTATTTCACTCTATATATTGTCTTTCAGCAGCTATTTCTGACCTTGTGATGCTGTTCTAAAACAGAGATGGCCTGTAGAGATAGGCATCAGCAAAAATCCCTGCTCCAACAACCTTTGCACTTTGGTGGAATTCAGAGGCGTTCAGAAATATGTAGCTCTCATCACTTGGAAGCAAAAGGCAGTGAAGAGACAAAAATGAAACTAGTGCATTGCTATTTCATCCAGCCCTCAGGAATGGTCAGTGGGAACCGTGAAACTTTTTCTATTATTTTGGGTTTGCTATTCTAACAGCAGACATAGATTATACCTCACCTTAGTCCACCAACAGGTTGCTGTGCTCAGGAAGAGTCACTGTTCCTATACAGCTGGCAATACCTGCTGTGTGCACCAGCTAAGTCGCGTTCATAGGATGCTCTTCCTCTTCCTTCTTCCCAAAAATCATACCGGTCTGATTCACAGATGGTGGGGGTTGGAGTCCTACCATGAACTTTGTGTGTATACTAGCAGAAAAAACTCTCTTAGATAAGTTGTTTGACTTGTCAACTGCAGTACACTGCATCTCAGGCTTTGGGGCTTACAGCTACAAAAGCAGGGTAACAAGTCCGTCAGTCCAACATCTGTCACGGAGGGAACTCTGCTGCACTCTGTCCCAGCCAGCTCCTGGGAGAAAGCCAAAAAACTCTGTATTCTGGGTTAACTCCCTACCAAAGTTCATGGTAGTCCAGGGAGGAGACTCTCAAGTGGAAACACACTGGATGCAACTAATCAGAGATGCAATATTTTTAACAGGCAAGGTCACTTGTAGTGGGGTGAGGTTTCTGCTAGCTAGAAGCACTGTGAAGAGCTTCAGAGGAAGCCAAGACCTGCCTACTGTGTTTATATCTTTGTTATTAATAAATGATTAGCTGTAAAGCCACACACAAGAATCAGTGCAGAGGTTTGCAATTTCTTACTGTTTTCATTAAATCGTGTAATTCATACATAGCGCACTTCTCCAGCTTCCCTTCCCCCATCCCCTGCATGTTCACGTGTCACCATCCCCGTCTCTCGCTAATCTGCCTCCACTTATCAGTGAAAGAGGAGATGAATTTGATCAAAATGGAGTTGTAAGGAATTTAGGCTGTCTTGTCGAAAAGAGAGACTCTAGCCCAATCTGGCTTTAAACAAAGGTGATGTGACAAACTAGTCAGAACACTGAACCTACGGGTGAGCAGCCCGGCCAGGACTCGGCCATCAGCAGAAATGGGTGTGCTGAGTGTACTAGATACACAAACACAACTACCAATATACATACTGAACTCTTCCAGCATCTTCTGATTCTACAGACACCACAACAGATGGCATATCCAATATCCAGATAGTTTCCGTCTCTGTGAGGTAAATATCCACTCTCCTATCTAAGTCTTCTTTTGTCAGTTCTTCTTTTATCTCCTCTCGCCTCACCTGCACATCTGAAAAATTAGGTGAGGTTAACAAGCGAGACCTTTTCTGCTCTAAATTTAAAAGGAGTCAAATTAATTCTAAAAAGTGTTTTACTGATCAGGAGCCAAAACTTGTGAGGCGCTGAGCTGCTCTGAAATGCTGGGCATCTCACAGCCACGTTCCTGCAGTGTCTCACAAATCACAGTGTGCCAAAGAACTGTTTAAATCTGTAATTATACAGTGTATGTTCTTTACCAGATAAGCTAACAGTTGTGTCTTGTCGAGAGCCGGGTTCTACTATTTCGTCTAGTAGGGACTCAGTTGTCGACGTGCTTGATATAGAAGTACTGCTGCTTCCGTATGTCCTTCAGTAACAAAGAAATAAGCAGAAATAGTACGTGAGAGTCCAGATGTCAGTTAGCAAAGCGCTACAAAAATAACAGCGTTGTTATCGGGATCAGCCACAGAAGACTGGAAGAGCATGTACAGGGATGCTTGCGTTGTAAAAGCAGTCATGGAAGGCTTAGGAAAGAAAATAATGAAATGGTTTGAAAAAGGCTTAAAAAGGAAGGATTCCTCTGACGGCATATCCTGAGGCATTCAATAGCTGATGGAAAAGAAGCTGTTGAGCTTTCAGATTCATTCTTAGCATATAATAAGGGAAAGTGTTGGCTACCTACCGTGAGATAACGCATACCCACAGATAGCACTGTTCTCAACCAGAATGTTGGTGCTTTGCATGTGCTGAAATGGCTTTGAAAAGCTCAAGAAGCCCATCTGAAGGGATTAGCTTGTTAACAAAAGTAGGTAATGTTCACAGAGGGGAGAGCTGTGATAACTAGAAGTAAAACTCACAACTCAGCTAGTGTTGGGAGGTTTGCGAGCAGATTTTCTCTTCCTCAAAAGCTAAGTGTGAGCAATAAAAGATATTTGAAAGAGACAATTTTTAAGATCTGTATTTAAAACGAAAATTAAATGATTTCATTTTGTCTTTTGAATGAAGAGCTCTTGTCTCCAAAAAGGTTGCGCTTATTTTTCAGGAGATACTTTGTATTTTTAAGTCACTTTTTGTATATTTGCTCCTGGTTAATATCTCTACCTCTGAGATTATCCTTTATAATAGCCAGCCTAGGAAACATGACAAAAAGATGGTTCTCAAAAAGCAATCTCTTCTTCTCAGAAATCTCAATGGCATTAACTTTGCCAAAGAAAGCAGTAAATAATGCTTTTCTTTAACTTGCATTTTTTTTCCAGCGCTGACTTTACTAGTCTTTTAGTGCCTTTGACTAAATAAATAGCATCTCCTCTCCATACTATCTGAATGTGTACACACCATTGGATAAAGTGATGTGGTTCATTACTTTTCCATTTGAAACACAAATAGGTATTTACTGTCTTTTCCATGACTTAATTGAATTTGTCAGCCTGGAGATAAAACAGCTCAAGTCGATTGACTTTGTTTATTCCTGCTGTACTGAAGGTTTGTAAATGAAAGCTAGTAAGTAGTGAAACACATAATTCAGCAGTTTTAACTCAAAAGCTTTTGTAGAAAAACATTTTTTGAAATGGATGCCCATATGCACACAGAGGTAACATGCTTAGATTAGTTTAGAAGAGAGGATTTTGGTATTTGAACTGAGTCAAGTTTTTAAAAAGGGTTGTCTGTACTGAATAAATACCACTAAAACTGACAACCAGACACTGTTCAGACAACCAGACCACAACCTCCTCTGCCTTTAAGGTAGCGTTACGTCACATACGTGTGTATGGGTTCCAGCATAACGTGGTATGCTGGCCCAACCATCACAGAACCTGCAGTCTGGGTGTTGAACTGGGAGGTACTCGTCACCATCTCTAAAGAAGGTCCATCCTGGTATGTCACGTAAAAAAAATGTGGCTTGGGAGGGGAAATTTGAATAAAATTGGAAGTATCACAGGAGCATGTGCTGCAGTCTGCTTTCACCTCTATGTATTAGCATTTCAGCAGTAGTTCTGACAGTCACTAGTGACAAATTCCATTTATTCTGTTAGTTACTATTCCTCAAAGTTTAAGTGATGACTATGACCGGCAAGTTTCTGTGTTTTGACAACACAGTATAATTATTAGCCCTGCACAATTATTCCAGCTTCCAACCTCTGAAGAGCAGATGAGTGGCTGCTGCAGGGTAGGTCCCCTGTGAGACAGGATTTAAGAGGCAGCACACTGACTTACCTTGAGAACAAACCTGAACTAGCATTCCCACCCGATGCCTGATGCACGGGGAAAGGAGAGAGAAAACCAGATCCTGTGGCCCCATAGTAAGCACTTGGTACCAAGAGCTTGTCCTGCCTGGGTACAACAGTATTTGGATCTGAATGGAAGAGTGGATGGGGTGTCACATCCTTTCCTTCGTCATCGAAAACCTGAAGAAATATTTAAATAGTGAGAATAGTTTCACTGTGTTCCCAAAACAAGTGACACTGATGACACTTGCAATATTTTATCTCATCTGGAATAGAAGGAAGACCCTGATCCGGGCGGGAACCTGACAGCACAGTGACCACTCTCTGCAGATGATGCTTAAAATACACCAAGACAGGGGCGAGCGGGTTTGCATTCCCACTTTCCCCTCAGGGCTCAGCCTTGAGAGGGCTGCCACCTTTGCCTGGGAATTCTTTGGAACTCTTTGTAGAAATGGCTGCAAAATATCTGCAAAAACTGTGTTTGCCTCACTATCCGAGCCACTTCTCCTTCTTGGCCAACCCCATTGTCTTTTCTAGCTTATTTATTCTATAACGACTACCAAGAGTGGCTTCCTGACTGTAACTATTCCTGTCAAATTCACAGTACAGCAAAAGCAATGAGAAACAATTATGCATTTTTTTTATTATACTGATCAAAGTATTTACTTGTAAGAAGCTATTCCGTAAGGTTGTTAAATGACTCCCAGATTATGGTACGGGAATCTTCTGGTTTTTAGGTGAAGACATACAGGTGCTACAGTCAACATATCTCATGTAGATTTGCAAACAAGTAGTTCTCAGATTAGGGGGAGAACTGTTACTCTAATTTTTGGTTTTAATTACTCTTGCAGATTGTTTTTGGACACTAATCATCTTCGTTCCAGAATGGATTAAGCTCTTGGCTCATCTTCCTCCACAGCTCTTCAACTTCAGACATGCCTTTTCTTCCCTCCTCCCTCTCCCACTTCCTTTCTGACAACTTTTAACATCCACGATAACTCACATTTAAAACTTTTTTGTAATAGTGCAAATGGCTTCTCACCCGTACGGCGCACTCGTTACCCACGAGGGATGCTCTGGCCACTGCTTTGCCATCAAAAGTTGTGAACAGGCTTCTGCGACTCGCCGCTCTATTTGTGTAGAGCCCACTGAAGATGCTCACTCGTCTTTGGCTGCCCGAACTTGCTCCTGTTCCTTGCCCTAACCTGAAATCAGCCCTAGAAATTCCCGTTCAGTCAACAAAATGCAAACAACCAAGTCCAAGCACCAAATGACTTACCCCTTAACTTTCATGAACGCTTTAAATTTAAACCGTGGCTTAAGTTAATGGTTTAAACAAATTAAAGCCAACAGTGTAAATTTAAAGCCACGTTAACTTAAGCCACGGTTTAAATTCAAACAATTAATTTAAAGCATATTTTAATTTTAAACCATTAATTTAAGCCACGGTTTAAATTTAAACCATTAATTTTAAAGTATGGTTTTAATTTAAATTATGGTTTAAATTTAAAACATTAATTTAAGCCACGGTTTAAATTTAAACCATTAATTGAAAGTATGGTTTTCATTTAAACGATGGTTTAAATTTCAACCTGTAATTTAAGCCACGGTTTAAATTTAAACCATTATTTTAAAGTATGGTTTTAATTCAAACTATGGTTTAGATTTAAACCATTGAGGATGATAATCTTGAAATAACGTAGTTGCTTCCAAGTAACCTCCGTCTGGCTTCTAAGGGGGCTTAAGCGGTGATGGAAGGATGGGGGCAACGCCCGCTGTAAAATAAAAGCCTCAAAGCGATTTTACCGGTGCTCGGTTCTGCGGGGCTAAGCTTAGAAACGGGAACGGCGGCGGCAATGAAGGGGTAAGAGGTGCAGGGGCGCGCCGCGCCGCGCTGCCGCCGGCTGCCCGCTCAGCCCGCGCCTCCCTCCCCTCCCGGCCCGCCGTGTCGGGGGCTGCCGGAGGACCCGCTCCGTGTCCCCGGGTCGCCGTGTCCCCGCCGCTCACAGGGTACACCGCCGGCCGCCGGGGCCCGCCATGGCGGCGGCGCTGGGCCGCGACACCGCGTCTCGCCGTAACCATGGCAGCGCGCCCCAAGATGCGACGCGGGGATTGGCTGCCCAAGGACGGGCGCCGCTGATAGGCCGGGCCGCGGGGCCGCCGGTCTCCTCAGGAGGCCTTCCCGTCCCCGGGCCCGCCGCCCCCCCGCCCCTTGTCACCGAACCACCAAGCCCCTCGGAGGCCCAAGCTCCCTCCGCCCCGCCGTAAAACTCGGCCCCAGTGGCGGGGGGCGGGTCGGGTCTGGGCTTTTTGGAGGCGGTTTAGTTGATTTTTTTTGTTGTTGTTGTTTTCCCCTCGTTTAGCTCGAGTCGGACCAGTTGCACGCGTGGGTGATTTCCCTTGCAGCGTCGCCCCACGGGGACCGCGTTTTTTATTTTTTGTTTTGGGGTTTGTTTTGTTTTGGTTTTGTTTTGTGAGGATTTAAAATGCGGTTCGCCGGCGGCAGAGGAGCGGCTGGGGGCTGCGAATGATTCCTCGAAGCGGGGGGCGAGCGGGCCAGCCCCACGGGGAAGAGCAGGCAAGGGCTTTCCCAAAATATTTGAGACTAGCGCCCTCACTTTTAAGAGCAACCGTGACACCGGAGCTGAGCACCCGGAGCTGTCCCCTGCGCGGGAAGGACCACGCGTGTCCTTCTGCCCGCGCTGGCACTTCTGACCCGAGCCTGGGCGGGCGAGACAGCCGGGGGAGGGTTTAGGCAATGAGGTAGAATTAGGACTACATGCCTGTTTTGGTAGTTTTTGGTGGGGTTTGGTTGTTTTTTTTTTTTTTCCTTTAGGTAAGACCTAAAGCGTTATCAGTTTTCCCTCATCCAACAGCGTGTGTCACACCCCCCCCCCCGCCCCCCCAAAGGACCTCACCCTACGCTTCGCGGTCGGTGAGAGAGCGGCCACGCCTGTGCGGCTCCCCGCGTGAGTACGGCTGCCGGGGCGGGAGGGAGCGGCACCGAGACCGGCGGCCGCCGATCCCACCGGGGAGCAAATGGCGGCGGCCGCCGGGGCCGTGAGGGCGAGCGGGGCTGGAGGGGCGTGGCCTGCCCCTTGAGTGGCAAACGGGCGGAGGGGCGGGGTCTGCTCCTTGAGTGGCAGACGGGCGGAGCCTGTTCCTTGAGGGGCGGGGGGGGCACGGCCTTCTCATTGGTGGGCGGAGCCGACTCCTTGAGTGGCAGGCGGGCGGTGGGCCGCGCCCAGCAAAGCTTCCCGCGCGCCGCGGGGAGGGCGGTGGCGGGAGGAGGAGGAGGAGGAGCGTGTGCGTGGTGACGTCGCGCGCGCGGCGTGGCGCGGCCGCCGCTCCCCCGTCTCCCTCCGCCGCGCAGACCGTGACCCGCCGGGCGCCGCTCCCTCCGCCGCGGCGGCGATGTGACCCTCCCTAACCCCCCCCCTTCCCCTTCTCCGGTCCAGTCCCCCTCCCCCTTCCCTTTTCCCCGTCCCCCTCCCTCCCCCGACCCGTCGCCGCCCGCCGGCCCTCCCGGGCAGCGAACATGGCGGAGGTGAGAGCGCGGCGGCGGGGCGGGGGCCTGCCCGGGAACTTGTTGCGCGGTGAGGGGTGGGGGGGGGCCGCGGCCGGGCGGAGCGTCCCACAAGTTAGTTGTGGGGGGCCGGGGGGGGGAGGGGGGAGGAAGGGGATTGCTGTTTTATCCCCGGTGCCACTGCCCGCTCCCCTCCGGGGCCTACTGCCCCGGGACGGGGAGCCTCGCCCCGGGAGGGGGGCCCGGGGGCGGCCGCGGGAGGTGGGGGGGGGGGGGGGCTGCGGCTCGTCCGAGGCTTGACCGGCAGAACCGGGGCGGGGGGGGGGGGGGGTGTTGGGTGCGAGAGTGGCCCCCTCAGCGGGGGACGGGGCTTCTGAGCATTTTGAGCATCGCCGGGGTGGGGGGGGGCAGCGGAGGGGGGCCTGAGCCCGCTTCGGGACGGGGTTCCTCTTTGGGGGGGGGGGGGGAGGAGGGGGGGGATGGTGTGGAAAGGGGGGTGACCCTCCCTGCGGTGGCGTGGGGGGAGCCTCATCCCTTCAGGGTGGAGAGGGGTGCGCGTCCTGCCAGCTCCGGCTCTGTCCCGCCGTGAGAGCATCGCTCCTCCCGGGCTTTGATGGGACCATCGCTCGAGGAGAGAGCACGTATTTATTTTCTTTAAATACCTTTTTGTAGAGGCTGAGACAAAGGGGGAGTTGCCTTTATAGATCGAAGGGCAGCCCTTCCAGTCTCATGGGAGGGAGACTTTTCTCCAAAAAAAGGGAGAAGGGCTATTCAGGGGAGTTGCAGGAAATGGGAGAAGGCTTACTGACCTCTTTTCTTCTGTGGGAGGCAGAGAGAGATATGTGTTTGATTATTGAGGTGTGGATTTGTCCATCCCGATAGGATCTGGAAGAGCAGCTCTTTTGCTTCTTAGGAGGCAAGTTGGGACAGATGACTAGATATTTCATTAAGTTTTCTTCAGATTATCCTAAGATTCCAATCTTAAGGTAATTTGCCGTTTGAACAGTGTTGACAAATGAATTGGAAACACTTGTTTGAAAGGTATGCTACTAAAAAAAACCCAAAACTCTTCTGCGGGATGGGCATTTCTTACCTCCAACTCCCCCCAGTCTGGCAAGATCGGGATTAGAATATTTTACAGATGAGATTTCTTCCCTTTAAATTCCCAAATATGTGTGAATTTTTACTTAAATTTGTTTTATCCTTCCCAAACGAAAAATGTAGAGGTTAAAAGAATCTGCCTGTCTGGTTTTTTTCTATATGTTGAGGAGCACAGAATCACATGTCTGATCCCTAATTTACTGGCCAAAAAATGTGTTTCTTAAACTCCTGTCATCTGTAAAGTTGGAGGGACATATCGGGGCCCATGCTGATCCTAGGCATCACAGTATTCAGGATCTTTGTCTCAAGTTCCACCAATTGCTTGTAAGTTTTGTTAATTAAACACAGCATTATTGTGAAATATTTGTGCTAGCTCTTCTGGTGAGAGCTGAAGTTCGCCATATTGCTGAAGAGCCACAGGCAGTACGCTGAATTACTTCCTATTCTGGATTGTCACGTACTTATATTGACGTTACAGCAGTGATGGCATTGAGAATTATAGGGGATTCGTGGTGCAGAGAGCAATAAAAAGTCAGGGGGGTTATGGAGGTCAGGCAGGCTTTGTTTTTCACTTTATGAATGTTGTTCCAGTGGGTAAGGCTTTTATTACATCTTAGTCTTGATACTTTGCTAAGAAAGAAAGAGCTGCTTTTTTTTTTTTTTTTTTTTTTTTTCCCCTCAGCGTTTTGCTTTTTTGAAGAAAAGCTGAGATGAATTCTTTGTCCTATTTTGGCTTCTTTCCTTCAGGTTAAGGGGCAGGAGCAACATAAAGGGGCTGTGAAAGCTTTGATCCACCTGTGGGATGTGTTCAGTAGCGCAGGGGTGGCAGCAGCAATGTGAGCTTGGCTGATAGCAGTTCACAGCCCTTGAATTGTGCAGGCGACCGTTTGCACGGCTGCACTGCCTTCTGGATTGGGAAACAATCAGAATTTTTTTTAAAAAAAAAAAAAAAAAAAGCAACTTTTGGTGATTTAATGTAGGACCAATGTCCTGAATATAGTTCCTAGTGCAATTTAAGAAATGTATAGGGGATGGGAATAATTCTTAGGGTGGCATTGCCACCGAAGCTCTGGTATCAAGCATCCGCCTCGGGGAGCTGAGGACAGTTGCTGCTCTGTGGTGGTGTGTTAGGAAAGCAATGCGCTGCGTGATGCGATGTTGAGAGAGCGAGGGAAGGCTGATAATTCAGGCAGCCCTAGGTCTTGCCTGGCGCGGCAGACAAGGGCCCTGGGAGCAGCCTGACTTTAAAAATGTGGGTGGAAAGTAAGACTGCCGTTGCGCCTCTTGCCCTCTTCCCCGTCCCTCCCCAGCAGGAAATCTCGTGCTGACTCTTCTCAAGAAACACATAGGAATTCATCATTCTGTCAAGAAGGATCCTAAAATGTTGTGTTCTAGAGAATCAGCCAGGTTTTAATGCTAGAGATGTAAATTTAAAAAATAAACAATGTAAATATGAAACTTATTTAACAGGAAGGCTCTTCAGACAGGAGCTCTGAGCGCTGTTAGGAAGTAAATGGGTCCAGAAAGTGAAACTAAATTAACAAAAAATGCCGTTTCACTTTTGTAGAAGCTTATCGGTTTGAATACAGGAAAGACAAAAAAAAAAAAAAAAAAAAGTATTTTGAATATATATCAAACTGGTTTCAGATTTGGGATTAATAACCTGTGTTAGGATTTCATTTTACTTTGAAGCATGCTCATGTGGTTGGTTTGAGTCTTAATATTCCAACGTTAAAAGATTGTTCTAGTCATAGATCAGAAAGAAAACATCTCTAACTTAAGATGAGCTCAAGCTTTGTGAATATTACCATATCATTCAGTAAGCTGCTTATTTAGTCTTTGTGATGAAGCGAATGCTCATATGTACAATTTTTCTTCCAAATATGAGTATTTTAATGCCTATTGAAAAGATTTTTGACTGCAAAGCTTGATTAGTTGAAAGAGAATGTTTTTTGTTTATTCAGCTGTTATAACGTTTGAATAAAATGTAAGTGAGGAAAGAGATGTTCTGATTCCAAAACCTTGAAGAGCTGGGGTCAGGCTTTTGTGTTGAAAAGACAGGCAGCTAAATACCTACTGTATTTTCCAGAAGTGCTGAGTTCCTGCTGTTACTTTATTTTGTTCCATGATAAGATGCACCGATCAGGCTGCAATAGGCACTTGCTAGGATACTAAACAGGCAAAACTCATGGGAAAATTAGAAGGGGTTTGGTGGTGGTTTGTTGTTTTTTTGGGGGGTTTTGGTTTGGTTTTTGCTAACTCACTGAAGAATAAGAGAAGTATTAGGGGCTGCTGTGTAGGAAAGAGGGCAGTCGTGTTTGGTCAGAGGTGGGGTGGGAGAGGTAGGGACATAATATCCCTGATTTTGATTGTCATGCCTTGGTTTACGTTTCAAGCTGATTTTTAATTATGGGTTGAGAGGGGATGAGCAACAGCTGAGGTGGTCTGCCAGCTCCTAGCTGCCTGAAAGGGCAGATCCTGCTCCTGCTGCTGCTTTTGTGTACTCGCTCCCGGAACTTCTCCTGGGGGTTGCTTCAGCTTGCTGGCTTAGGAAGAAGTGAAAAGCTTCCTGCAGGGTAGCCGGTTCTACCAGCTGATGGAAAGATCCACCAGAGACTCCACTGGTGTGAGGGATGGCATGGGGCAGCAGAACCACTCGTGGGGATCCACAGGAAGATGACATATTCCTCCTTCCAAAAATGTCAAGCTAGGAGGTTGGCTCAGCTCCTCATGCAGTATGCTTGTCTGGTGCCGCTCTGACCATTTACTGTTGCTGAAAAACACAGTCCTGTTTCTCCCAACTCTCGAGCAGACAATTGAGCACCTTCATGGCAGCTCCTAGTGTTTTCTTGCTCCTCGGTGAGGTTATTCAGTTTTCTGACCTGCTGGAATAAAAACTTAAGTTTTTCCTTCTTCAGAGTGAATTTCTGTGCGGTTAAAAATACATTTTTTTTTTGTGCTGAGGTGTCAGGCAGGTATGGGGAGAAGTAGGAGAATGTGTATCTTGGAGAGGAGCAGGACCATTTCTGGTGTCAGTGGGTGCTTGAACTGACTCAGCCTGATTTCTTTGAGTGCACTTTAATGTTGCTTGGATTTCTGAAAGTTTAGTTGCTTTTGACCAGAATATCGGTTTACTGATATTGTGTGGCAGTGATTTAATAAGTCATCTTGAAATTCATAATGCCTGGTAAAATTTTCATTTTTTCTGAATGTTATGCTTCTTTTAGTTCTAGAGTTTTAAACTTTGTGACTGTAGCTGAATTCCAGTTTTCATATGCAGCTTAAAACAACTTCAGAACATAATGTTTAAAAAATACATGATCTCATGACCATTCTTAATAACGTTTTTTACGTTCTTAATCTTTGTATTTTTGGTAAGCTATGCTGTTACATTAAAACAATATGCATAAGTGTGTAATAGACTTCTCTGTAGGAAGCAGTAGTAAAGTTAACACGATCACTAAGGTGGTTGCAAATTGAGATGTTTTAAAAGTCAGGGAGGACAGAGCTTTTGAGTGATGCCTGGATACAAAATAGGGTCAAAATAGATTAAATCAAGTCTTTCTGCTGACTGATCTAAATCATGATTAAAATTGGTGATTCACATCAGTCCATCCTGTTGAACGCAGTTATTTTTTTTTCCTCATTTGATCTTAGATTTAACTAATTGTCTTTTTTCTTTGCTTCATTTTGGAGCAGTTTTTGTAGAATACTTCACAGAGGTATCTCTGAACCTAACGGTAGGTCCGGGAATTCAGTTTTCTCACTTCCTTGGTGAGAGTATAAACTTCAGTGTGGTTGGTTATGGTCACTGATTGTATTCCCATAGTTTTTCTGACAACCTATTGAAGGGAAAATAGTAACGCTTAGCATTCTGCATTTCTAATCTTGGAAAAGAGGTAGGGTTTTCTGTCGTAATA